GAAGATCAGATATAGATGTAAAGGCGATTGTCAAAGCAAGGACCGCATTCCTACAATTGAAGAACATATGGAACTTAAAACAACTCCCAAATAATTTCAAAGTGAGAATATTCAATACGAACGTCAAGATAGTCCTACTGTATGGAGCTGAAACGTGGAGAACTACTACATCTATCATCAAGAAGGTACAAGTATTTATAAACAGTTGTTCATGCAAAATACTCAACATTCATTGGCCGGATACCATCAGCAACAGCCTTCTGTGGGAGAGGACAAACCAACTTCCAGCTGAAGAGGAAATCAGGAAACGACGTTGTAAGTGGATCGGACAAACATCAAGGTAATCAGCAAACTGAATCACGAGGCAAGCCCTAACTGGGAATTCTGAAGGGAAGAGGAAAAGCAGAAGGCCAAAGAACACATTACGCTGGGAAACAGATATGAAAAGGATTGCCTAGGACATGGTTTGATGGAGAATGCTGGTGTGTGGCCTACGCTCCTCCATGAGGGGTAACAGGCGTAAGTAAGTAATGAAAATCCTAGGCAATGAGTATTCATAACTTTGTATCCAGTACCTGAACCTAGGACTCCCGTTCTCGCACGTAAATAGTAAACTTCCAAACAATTTAGCCAGCAACCAGTTATGTAAAAGTCTAAATTCAACCGGTCTCTGATATTATGCAAACATCTTCCATTATCTTAGGTAAGGTGATAAAACAAGTCAGGTATTTTACTTGAGACAAATATCTTCTGCAATTTGTGTTGTAGTTATAATATTCTTTCAAAATGAATGATTTACTTTGTTGAAATCTTTGTTCATGACACAATTGAATCGACAATTTAACCATAAACTGTAGTTGCCACTTCTCTTTGCCTTCTGATTTCAGGCACCGTTAAGATTTATATTATAACGGTTAGTGAAGCACGGCACTACAATCTCGACACAGAATATCATTTCATTATTTTTAAAAGTATCTGATGGCGAAAACAGACTTCAAATGTCATAAGCATGACCTAAAAAACTCCTATCGTACATTTCTATTAACACTTAATCATATGGTGTGGTAATGGTATAATGATGTTGAAGAGTGTTAGTAACTTTTAGATATGTACAACATGTGTTGTGTAAACATTTTAGTGCATTATTCTATACTACTTACTAATATTCAGTAGTTGGTGTGTAGTTAAAGACTCAGTGTCATCTTCCTCTTTACATAAATTGGGAAACGTTCATTCTACGCTTTGTTGTAATCGCAATATCTTGACATTTTTTCATAGTTACTTTCAGTTTTTGCGTATTACTTTACTTTCTTATTTAAATTGTTATGCCCAGATAACAATAGTGAATGGTAACTTTGGGATCCATTTATGAACCAATATTATGCATATATTTTATATCGTACAATTGCTAAATAACTAAACTATTCATATTCGTATCCCTTTTATTATAAGCTTTATTTTGACCCATAGACTATTACTGTAAGATTTATCATTCCTGAGTTATCACCAGTCTATTAATTACTGTTCCCTCATCCGGTTCATAGCCACATTTAGCTGAATCTTGTACAAATGGTACGATGTGGTCTGCCTGTTTGGTATATAAACTCAGTATGTTTGTGAATAATGATTTATATCTGAGAGACTGTTATTGGTGTTCTGGACTTAACTGGCTAGGCTAGGCAGAAGCAGGACCGACAAGTACTCTAGACTACTCGTACGGTTTCCTTGTGTGTCATTGGTCCGATTGATAAAATCACTCCTCTCTGATTGGCGGTATTATCACGTCATACGTTAGCAAGGCATCCACTCGGCCACAAGTTATAACATAAATAAAACAGATTTCATGTCTTTTTTCTCTGATTCTCCATTTTATTGTTGACGTTTGACGCATCTACCGGTTATTTACACAATCGTTTATTGCAATTAACCTTTATGTGATTACGACATTAATGCATTTCCTTTACCGTATTAAAAAAGACTCATTAACCACTACAGATACTTCATGAGTTGAGGGTTGTGACTAAGTTACTGATGTGCGGTAGTGAAAGTAAAATATGATTGTGATATGCTTGATACTATTACGAGTTTAGCTTACTAGGTAAACGGAACGAAGGTCAAAGACACAGTGATACGATAGGCTATTCTAATTCGTTGTCCCCGGCCCTGCCAACTAGATCAAGAATTCTTGATAAGTCGTAGCGAATGCATTCTACAAGTAGCCAGAAAATACGAGATCACTAAGCACACAAATCAAGCTTATTTATACAATGATAGAAACTCCCATGGGAGAACCACAAAATAGCTTACTAAAAACAATTCATCAACCAATGGCAGTTAGGGATCTCTTGGCGCGAAAACATAGAATAGAAATTTTCTGTATAAAGTTACAATATCGGGACCTTTCCCAAGTGAGTTCTGGGAATCCAACGTCCCCAACAAATTGCTCGTTGAGCATGGACCAACAGCCACTAAGCCTACCGACTATTAAATACGCGATTCCTTTACCTTTCATTGATTTCTACAATGGACTAATTAAGTGCGAATGCTTATAGCTGCTGAATAAATTATTATTAGTATGAGAATTTTCGGAGATAACCTAAAAGCACTGGGAGACCATTTCGTTCTAGTATGGAACTCTTCAGCAGTGCGCATCCACGATGTCGCATGTGAGACTTGTGAACACTTAACCTTTAAACCCCTAAGCCAGCGTTTAATGGTGTTAATGTCTAACTTCAGTCGATCCTGTGTCCAAGCCCACACCACACTGCTACTATGTATACTTGCATTTCAGAAATCTCCGGAAACCCAAGGTCATCTAAAATGCTGCAAAAACCCTAAATTTTCTGGACATAAACGAACCTTCAAAGTGAAATGTCTCTTCCATATTTCGTGCCTTTTCTCTTGTGTTCAAATCGTTGTGTAGATTTAGCCTGGAGGTTACTAGAAGGGCTTAGGAGCCAAATCTAGCGTTCACTCACGAATCAATATTGTTCAATATGGTGAATTAACTGAATTTATGGATATAAGCTATTGGATTTCAACTAGAGGTCTAGAAGTTAAGTGTGCGACGTGAGGTTTAAAGACCATTTTATTCAATCGCAGACATTGAGTCGTCGATGAGTAATACCAAGGAGTCCTATACTACGGCAAAAAAGCTGTACAGTGGTTTCTGATCTTCAACAATTGTTACATTAGAGTAAGTTTGTGACGTAAACTACAACCACTAAAAAGAACCTAGATGGTTACATTATTGACTGATATGAAATGGAGAATCATTGAAAAAACCAGTAGGGATTCGATGATGTATCAAAATTTCTCGCTGGTGTGTAAAAGACAACACAACATAACATGGAACGAAGCTAGAACATAACAGATTTTTGGACCAGTATGATACCAAATAAACTTAAACCGGTAACAAAACTCATAAAATCTTAGTATAAGGATGGGTCGTTGGCAAACTCAAGGAAGCCTCAAGAAGCCAAGAAAGAGCCGTAGACATTCCATCCAATCAACACTAGAACATTCCAGAATGTCGACGTGTAGCTTCCCCATTGGATGGATACGAATGACCTCCTATGTGCGTATTCGTTGTCCGAAATGATGATTTACTTTCAGCCAAAAACTATAAATACATGAGAATTTTGTGCTATATTGGACATCGTTTTGGGGAATAAAATTTCTACTTACTAGTCTTCTCTCTTGCGACGTTGCGGGTTCGATCGTTCAATTAGTCTAGTAGTACGCGGCATAGCAAGAATCTAAAACTCTAGATAAAACAGTTAGTGAATTGAAATGTTCCTCCCCATATATGGTATGTGAAAGGAAGTGGTAGATGATTCATGGCGAATAAACATCCATTACAAACTACTGACACGACCCAGGAACTTCATATAATACAGTGAGTCAAGGTTTGAAAAGTCTACATCTAACAACTAAAATTAATTCACGCTAAAATGACAGACTAATCAGGTTAATGATAACAGGTCTCGGATTTTGGCGCGAAATTCATTCATCCATTTAACTAAACAGAATTTTGATATTAGAGTCGATGTCAGTTTGTGATGAAAACCCCCAAATCTAATTCTTAACCTTAACCATCAACTGTAAATCATAATTCTAATTCCTCACATTGGTTTATAACCTTCATTTGATCCTAGATATTAGGTAGACACCCTCAAGGTCACTTTAGGGTCGTTCAAAGGTCATCTAACCTAATTTAAACTTGTATCATACATGGTTTATTAGGTCCTAGATATTAAGTGGACACTCTCAAAGTCAGTCTAACGTTGCTTAAAGGTTGTCCATAAATTATAGTCACACCGAAAAACTCAATAGTGATGTGGGTTTGAATCTCACAGAAAACATCAGTTTCTACATGATTATAGATACGCTTTGTTGACGAATGTCAACAAGCACAAAACCTAATTAGGGCAGTGATGTGTGAGCGAGAATGAAAATTATTGGTTGTTTTGCTGAGTCAGACATGTGGATAGTGTGACAGGTGTTATTGATTGATTGTTCTTGTTGTTGGATTGTGTCGGATTTTGGTGTGTGGACATTCTAGTCAGGTTATTCCTGTGTTCTTGATCTGAGTTGTATGTTGAAGTCCTACAGAATAGACACTGGGTGGGAAACTTAGTGTAGATATTCGTCTAAGGTAAATTAGCGTCCCACATACGTGTAAAAAGTAAAAAGGATTATTATAACAAGAAACCTCTAGCGTTATAACAAGTATCCTACCTTTTATAACAGATAGGTTAGCTGCAGATTACCTAATCTTTAATCTCTACAAGCTGCCAAGTTATATAATAACTATCAACTCAAAAGTAACTAGTTAATATAATTGGAAGTACTGTGCAAAAACAAAACACGTTGCCTGATCTAAGTTTCAGGCTAGTTGTTATTTGTCAGCAAGGAATATATGTGACACTATCAATGAGCTTCGAACCTTCGTCACCTAGTTTGAAACATTAGGAAAGACTCCAGAAAGCGAACGACCATTCATACAACAGAAATATATATACAATGAGAAACTCAGTCGCAGTGTACAACCCATATGAATTTGTCTATGAATATAAAATGTTGCACAGTAACAAAATGACGAGCAGAAATGTGGAAAAAATCTTTTAGGATTCGAAACTGCCAGTGTTTATCTTCTTTGGGTAAACAAACTTTTATAACGAGTTAAAAATTGCTAAAAAACAAACATAGAAACAAATGAAGAAAAAAACTGATCAAAAAGCGAAAAAAAGATTGATATCCGGAAAATAAAGGGAAGTCCTACTCACTGCCTTCTCGTGGCATTACTGTTGTTTACGAAATTAAGAGGACGAAAAGCGAATGTCCGCCGCTCTGACCAAGTTGGTGGACACGGAACGTCTACCTAGGGGAGTTGGGAAACCCTCATTCCAAACCAATAGTCCATATGGACTCCAGTATCCTGAGGGAACAAATGGCGTATAAATTAATCGTTGGTCACCGGCTACCATGGGACTGCATCTCCTCACGATGCTCCACTGCCTTGTGGACTAGACCTTTAGGCCAAAGGCTCCGGATGTGGCCCCCTAAGAAAACCATCTGCTTCAGTTTTGGCACCTGAGCAGTATTACAGCCCTCACACAAATCAAATGAGATTTGTGAGACGCGTATTTATCTGGTGCTTCCTTGTACCAATATTTATGTGTTTAAATAAACAAGCTTCCCATACTCTAGGCTAAATCAACTTCTTAAATGAGAAGGAAGCTTTATTGACTAAATGCGAGTCGAGAGAGTATGTTCACACTCATTCATTAGAAATTAGAGTTACATTTTCAACTAATTAAGTGTTCTTCTCTACGAAATAATACTGAACATTAACCATTAATGCTAGCTTATCTTTTGACTTGTGTTTGATTGGTCCAAATTACTAATAATTCAAGGTTGTTTGAATTCTATCAAGATCATGAATGGAGCTTAGTTAGATAACCATTGGAAACTTAGAAGTGTTGAACGACTGTCTAGTCCACTAACCTCCATAATTCCAAATCGATAATTACTATGTCCTCACTAATGACTAGTTTTGAAAGGAGATTTCCGGTGCAGTTACCTACTGAAGACAATAGAAGACAGTCGCACAGCATAATTGATTGACTGAAGTTAGAACTGTACACTATTGGGTCCCGGATCAGAGTTCTAAAGGCTAAAGGTTCGCGTACAAGACCAAAAGTCTTGGGTTTGCGCTATTGAAGAGTACGAGACAATTGTCCACTACTTCCTGTTTCATATTAATTCTTTAACCAAGACTGGTCAGTGATCCTAATAAAATTTAGAGGACTTGTGTACACCAAGTTCCCTCAACTTCGTTACTATGGCCACCATAATTTGAGGTAATAAAATGACTATGGAGAGGCTTCACTTCATCTAAATGTAAAATGTTGCCAAGGAACTGGTCTGTAATATCATGTTGACTGGTTACACAGAGTAAAATAGTTGAATGCTTTGCTCATTCCACTTATGTTAGCAGTCTTCTCACACATGTTGGGGTCGATATTTGACAAGATTTTGGTTGGGTTTGCCAACATGTACCACTTACATAGTATGAGATATATTCATCTTTCAATCAAGGTATGAATACACTGTATTGCAATCCACTTTGTATCAATTAACAGCTGTGAAACATGGTCTATAAAAATAAGATATACTTAATCTCTAAATTTTTGATAATAGGCATCTCTTCAAAGTATAATTTGGGTATCGTTGAACAACAGAGTGAGCAATGTTAAAGTTAGGGTACTACGTAAAAATAACAGATCAGTTGGTGAGATAATGAATCTTCATTGAATAAGGTAATAAGAGTATATATTCCGTAAGTCCAATTAATAACTATCTTGATGTTTAATGTTAAATTGGAAGGAAACTAAGAGCATTCAAAGCAAAACTTAGTATCAATTTATGATATCACTAACTATTGACAAGTTCAAAACACCTAGTTAGGGTCTAAGTGATAACTATGATCAGTAAGTGAAGAAAATGGTTACGATAGAACTGATACATCTATTCTTTATCTTCCCATAGACATGGGTCCCAGGATCCCATCATTGTGCTAATATCACCTGTTCCCTTTTTATCACTTAGACAAGTGTTACTTAAAGGTCCATAGATGAACATGTACTCGGTTACTGTACTATCAGAGAAACTATCTCAGATAAAGATGGATATATCATTCATTCTCAATACAGGAGATTGGATCAATGGACAGAACACTTTAGGGATCAGTACAACTGGCCTTCATAGACACACATTCAGACGTCCCACAATTGTAGTATTTTTCGACCTTAAGGCGGCATTCGACTCCGTTGATCGTGAAGTTTTATGGCAGGGTTTGTCACTGAAAGGAGTACCAAAGAAGTACATTAACCTAATAAAGGCTCTATACTCGAACACAACTGGTCGAGTTAGAGCCTATGGCGAACTGTCATCAGAATTGGTTACCTCAAGTGGTGTTCGTCAGGGCTGTCCACTCTTTCCATTCTTGTTTAACTTTGTCGTTGACGTGCTATTAGAAATGACACTTTCATAATCTCCCTCGAAGTGCAAAATGTTACTTCAGGATTGGATTGCATCGACACCTCAACTAATGATAGGGAATGAAGTAGTTGAGCGTGTTGACAGCTTCACTTATCTTGGGAGTCTCATCAGCCCTTGTGGTCTGGTGTGTGACGAAAGCTCAGCACGGATACAGAAGGCTCGTCTAGCTTTCGCCAACTTGCGTCATTTATGGAGTAGACAAGATATCCGTCTAGCAACAAAAGGACGGGTTTACTGTGGAGCAGTTCGTTCCGTCCTACTTTATGTCAGTGAAACATGGACGATAAGAGTAGAGGATATTTGTAGGCTGCTATTATTCGATCATAGGTGCCTTCGACGCATTGCTCGTATATCCTGGGACCACCGGGTAAGTAATGTAGTTGTTAGGAAACGAGTATTAGGTAATGATGGAAAATCGATTGATGAAGTAGTGAGATTTCATCAGTTGAGATGGCTGGGACACGTGTTACGTATGCCCAACCACGACTGCACCGACGTGCAATGTTTCATGGTGTAGGAGTAGGTTGAAAGAAAGCTAGGGGTGGTCAGACCAAAACATGGCACAAATCCATGAAGTCACTGACAAGTGGAGTGAGCCATGTTGGTAGGTGTAGACTACCTGGTTGGGATTCGCAAGATGATAGCAACCGATGGTTAGAGACCTTGAATGACATGGCTCAAAATCGTTTGCAATGGCGAAGGTGCATTCACTCTTTGTGTTCTACCAAATTCTAACCTTTTGAATTCTTCATGTCCCTATCCTTTTTCTCTTTCCAAATTTAATCACTGGATTATACTCCTTCCATAACATCTTCAAACCCTAGTCTTTCACATAATGTTTATACTCTTACTACTTCTACCACTACGGGATTTGAATCGACAACTGAATCTCTGTGCTAATGTGGTATGGCAGCTCGAACTGATGTACGTATGTACGAAGTTCTACATTGTGACTGACTGACAGTTACTGTACCATATTACATAATATGTCAGATGATATATTACATAATCAAGTTGATTGAAATGATATACTTCAAACAGATATTGGATTCATTCAATAAATATTAAGAATAATAATCGTTCCAAATAGTCATCTACACAGAAATATAATAATCACAATACTACTAATACATTTTTATAGTAGTAGTAGTAGTAGTAAAGAAAAATATGACACAACTTACTTCATAAGCTTCATCTTTTTTAGTTTGATCTGATAATCGATTGAGAGATAGTAGATGAGGGTTTGGGAAGAAAAACAAACAAACAAAGAAACATAAAAATATGATATTTTAATTGACTAAAAATGTCTGTAGGAAGATAACTCTTTATATCTGGAACTTAACTTTAAAGGAGACAACAACACAGAGAAGGTGATATTTTGTTCATGTCGATTTACAAGATCTATTGAAAGAATATTGAACGTCGTCAAGAAAACAAATGTCGCAGCAGCCTCTGCATCAATAGGCCTCAATATACACAAACGAAAAACCAAGATTCTCAAATACAACACGGAGGACACCAACTCAATCACATTTGATGACGAAACTCTGGAAGATGTGGAATCATTCACGTAAATGGGAAACATCATTGATGAACAAGGAAGATCTGATGCAGATGTAAGGGCGAGGATTCATTAAACAAGGACCGCATTCCTACAATTGAAGAATATATGGAACTCAAAGCAACTGTCAACCAATACCAAAACAGAATCTTCAATATGAACGTCAAGACAGTTCTACTATACGGAGCTGAAACGTGGAGAACTATTACATCCATCGTCAAGAAGGTACAAGTATTTATAAAACGTTGTTCATGCAAAATACTCAACATTTAATAGCCGGATACTATCAGCAACAGTGTTTTATGAGAGAGGACAAAACAGCTTCCACCTGAAGAGGAAATTAGGAAAAAAACGTTGGAAGTGGTGGTTGGGATATACATTGAGGAAATCACCAAACTGCATCACGAGGCAATCCCTAACTTGGAACCTGGAAGGGAAGAGGAAGGTCAAAGAACACATTACGCTGGGAAATAGATGCAGATATGAAGAGGATGAATGTTAACTGGAAAGGATTGCCCAGGACAGAATTGGGTGGAGAATGATGGTGTGAGGCCTATTCTTTTCCACGAGGGGTAACAGGTGTAAGTAAGTAAGTAAGTTACATATGATCTTTTCAAATAGGGCAGTATTTAAACAGAAAATCAAGGCTAGGTTATTAATGACAGACTCTTTTATGTGTGTGTATGCGAAGTTAAATCTTCTTGTGGAGCTAGTTACATAGGTCATACACATAGGAATTTATCTCTGGGTGCTTGTGAACATGTATTGGAATGGTTCAGAAAGATGTCATGAAATCTATTATTAATAGCCATCCTTCCATTGTTTTTTATTTAGTACGTATACACTGGTGAGGAGTCCCATACTAGGACGAAACAGTCATCCAGTATTTCCAGGTTCTTAATGATGCTCTAGCTTAGATTGACTAATGATTTCAACTATTAAAATAGTTTGTTTGACTGCTATTCACTTTCATGTTAAATGAATAGTTATCCTAAATGAGAATGTACTTGATGGGTTGATAAAATTAGTTTTTTCATAAATGACTGTACCATCTACTTACGTTATTTCATTTCCTATCACCAATCGATCGATAATGAATCTTCATTGACTAAGATAGCTTAGATGTGTGTTATGTATGCTCAACCATTGCTTACTTCAATGTCGACTAGAGTAGGAGTAAATATAAGATCAATTAGAGGGAGCTAAACCAAAAACAACTTGGTATCAACCAATGATAGGTAGGTCCTGGGTTCGAATATCGCGAGGCGAGATCATGGATGCATACTGTTGAGGGGTCCCACAATAGGACGAAACGGCCGTCCAGTGCTTCCAGGTTTTCCATGATGGTCTAGCTTTAATTGACTCATGATCTCAACTATATAAAATTATTCTAGTGAGTTAATAATTTCTACAAAATTACTTCAGATTACATTAAATATATAGACCATTGTAGCAGTAGCCTCACCAACAGTAGGTCTCAATATAAACAAGACTCTCCGATACAATACAGCATACACCAATCGAATTACGCTTGACGGAGAAGCTTTGGAGGATGTGGAAACCTTTACATATCTGGGCAGCATCATTGATGAACACGGTGGATCTGATGCAGATATGAGGGCGCGGATCAGCGAAGCAAGAGCAGCATATTTGCAACTGAAGAACATCTGAAACTCAAAACAACTGTCTGTCAACCAACACCAAGATCAGAATTTTCAATACAAATGTGAAGACAGTTCTACTGTATGAGGCGGAGACGTGGAGAACTACGAAAGCCGTCATCCAGAAGATACAGGTGTTGATTAACAGTTGTCTACACAAAATACTTCGGATCCGTTGACCAGACACTATGAGCAACACTCTACTGTGGGAGAGAACGAACTAGATTCCAGTGGAGGAAGAAGTCAGAAAGAAGAGCTGGAAGTGTATAGGACACACATTGAAGAAAACACCCAACTGCATCACAGAACAAGCCCTCACATGGAATCCTGAAGGTCAAAGGAGAAGAGAAAGACCAAAGAACATATCACGCCCAGAAATAATGATAGATATGAGAAGAATGAACATCGATTGGATAGAACTAGAAAGAAATACCCAGGACAGAGTGGATTGGAGAATGCTTGTCGGCGACCTATGCTCCATTGACAGTAACAGGCGTAAGTAAGTAAATAAACATTAAATATATGAGTGGAACTTACCCTTCTCATTAGTAATATCGTCATCAATGATATTGAATTCAATCATATTCTTCTGTTGACTTTTATGCAAAGTAGTCTGTTCTTGATTGACTTGTTGTAATGATGATGATGATTGTTGTCGACTATGTACATCATCTAAGATCAATCTCTTTTTAGCATTCAACTTAGCTAATTGAATACGCCAAATTGTATTACAATTACGTATACGATAATATAATTCACGATTACAAAACATTAAGGAACCAAGTGATGTTAACGGTAAATAACACAATATTTCACACTAAAGAAAGTATTCAAGAAAAAGATATGCATAGGGATAGATCTAGTAAGATTAAGTTATGTGTTAAGAGGTTGAAAAGAGCTGGTAGTGGCTATTTCCACCTATCACATCAAATATGAAGTGATAAGTGAGAGATCTATGAACGAGATGCGCTATTGAAGGGAGTCAACCATGCAATTATTCAAAGGAGAATCATATGTATATACACTGTGCACACATTAGACTTTGATTGGGCAAATAAACCTTCCTCATCTTTTGCATAGTAAATTTGGTATACTGTGGGAAGTGAATATAGTAAGTGAATCGAACTGAACGATACAATAGGTGAACACAATTCATATGTTAACCTACTGAAGCTATTTATCAAAAGCATTGGCATATTATGTTCATAGTTCGTTCTTCCATACTATTTCACAACTGAGAAGCGTTCCCTGAGTACGACGGTGGGCATACTAATTTAAAAAAGTTCCTACTCACTACCTTCTCGTGGCATTACTGTTGTTTACGAAATTGAAAGGACGAAAAGCAAATGTCCGGTGATTTAACCGGGTTAGTGGACATGGAAAATCCATCTAGGGGAGCTGGAAAACCCTGATTCCAAACCAATGGTGCACATGGACTCCAGTATCCTGAGGAAACAAATGGCGTATGAATCAATCGTTGGTCACCGGTTACCATGGGACTGCATCTCTTCACAATGCTCCATTGCCTTGTGGACTAGACCCTTAGGTCAAAGACTCCGGGTGTAGTTCCCTAAGAAAACCATTTGCTTAGATCTGGGCACCCGGGCAAGTAGGTGGAAATTCCCAAGGTCACTTTAACGTCAATCAAAGGTCGTCCATAAATTATAGTTTCATCCATTTACTTTTTAAAAACAAGATAGTTCATACAAATGAATATTATGTATACAATTACATCACTTACAAATAATTCTCTTGGAAGAGTACATAAATGAAGTCTTGGAGATAAATTAAATTCTGAAAAATTATAAAAAATTATATATTTTTGAATCCAAGACCTTTGCAAGTCAAGTGGTAAACACTATTCATCGTAAGGTCATCGATGAGTACACTGAAAGAGTTCCATACTAAAATGAAAACAAGTTTTCTAGTATTCTTTGGTATTAAATGATGTCCCAATTTGTTATTATCAGAAAGGGTTTTGTGGAGATTTAGTATTTTTATAGTTGAAATCATGAGTTAATTAAAGCTAGACCACCATGGAAAACCTGGAAGCACTGAACCGCCGTTTCGTTCTATTATGGGACTCCTCAGCAGCTTCAATTGACTCATGATTTCAATTATGAAAATATTGAAATCTCCACAAAACATGTGTAGTGCGTTGAAATAACCAATATCGCTTTACGTTCGTAAGTCGGGATCATCAATTAAGTTGTGCGTTCGCAGGTCGGGATTACTAATTATGTAGTGGCGTGCTTCATTAATTGATCGCCTCGATAACCATTATTATACCAATCTTAACGATGTATAGAGTCAGAAGACAAAGAGAAACGGCAACTACATTTTTATTGATAAATGATGCAGACCAGAGGTTATAAGCATATGAGCGAATGTTAGCGAGCGAAACAGAAACGACATGCATTGGAGATGTCTGGTAAGCCAACTCGAGAGCGAAGCGAAAGATAATGCGTATTGGAGATGGTGGGGAAGCCAACTCATTTTAAGTAAGCGTTAATCAACATTTATAGTCAGACAAAAATGAATAACAGACATGTGATAAATAGGACAAGAAGGGTACACGCACCTACGCTTATATGAAAATGGTCAGGGTTAATAAGTGAATAGTTAACAAGGTGAAAACATAACTCATGATGGATAGGTGAATTGGCCTGGCCAGTAGATAGGATAAAGTATATGGGCTTAACATATAAACTGATACTAAACCCCTTCGGATTACCAAAAAAGGATTTTCACCTTGTTCTCTCTCTTGCTGTTATCCGCCTATTTATTTATTTAAGCACATTAACATTGTAACCAAATACATATGCGTCACAATTTAGTATTCGATTTATGTCAGGATTGGAATACTACCCGGGTACCGAAACTAAAGTAGATGATTTTCTTAGAGGATCATCATTTCCCGAACCTTTCACCTAGGGGTCTGATTCATAAGGCAGAGGAGCAACGTTAGAAAATGCAGTCTCATAGTGGCCGGTGATTAACAAAAGGTTCATATGCTATTCGTTCCCTTAAAATTCTGGAGCCCATATACATCATAGGTATGGAATCAGAGTTTTCCGAATCCCTTAGTGGATGCTCTGTACCCAACAACTCGGTTGAAGCACCGGACACACTCTTTCGATCCTCTCAATTTCGTGAACAACATCTGCTTACATTATTCTTTTTTCTATCTTTATTTAGGTTACTGTTATTAAGCTTAAAATTGATCTGATCACGTAACATGCGTTGAAATATTCACAAGTATCAACAACTCCCATCTTCATATCTTTGTTACTAATAGATTGATATTAATATGAACATTACTTCCTACCCTAGAATGAATTGTAATAGCAGAGATCTGTATTCAATCTTTGTCTTCCATTAACATTCGGTGGACTACTACACTATTTATTTTATTTATTTATTTAAACACATAAATATTGGTACAAGGAAGCACCAGATACATATGCGCCACACAAATCACATTCAATTTGTGTGAGGGCTGTGATACTGTCCAGGTGCCCAGACTGAACCAGGTGGTTTGCTTAGGGGGTTAAACCCCGAGCCTTTGACCTGAAGGTCTGATCCACAAGGCAGTGGAGCATCGTGAGGAGATGCAGTCCCATGGTAGCCGTTGACCAATGACAGGTTCTTCCGCCATTCGTTCCATCAGGATACTGGAGCCCATGTGCACCATTGGTTTGGAATCAGGGTTTTCCAACTCCCCTAGGTGAACCCTCCGTGTCCACCAATCCGGTTATAACGCCGGACATTCGCTTTTCGTCCTCTCACTTTCGTAAACAACACCCCCGCCACGAGAAGGCAGTGAGTAGGACTTCCCTGGCAGAGGCTATATATTCGCTGGCCATATGAGAGCATTTCGAGAGGGAGAGTAGACTCTCCCCACTCTCGGCCGTACCAAGGCATTTGGGGGCTCTACTCTACACTCCGTTAAAATCATATTCTCTAGGTTCAATTTTCTTCTCCTACTACCGCTGATTTTTCTATTACTCTGATACTTATCTTGATAATCTTATCACATTACGTGTTAGAGTAGTATGTCAACTTGAACCGATTCACATGTGGGCAACATCTTATATTGCTTATTACTAACATATAACAATCAAGTTTTGATTTGATAATTTCGAGTAAATTGAGTATTGGATAGAGTGTTATAAATAAAAACTAATACAGTTGTAGATATCTCAATGAATAGAGAAATTAGATTTTTTCGATGTTTCGTCACTCAGTGTAAACTACTTCTTCAGAGTTAATAAATAACCCAATCCAAATTAATCTAAGTTTAAATAGTACAATGAAACAATGTAAGAATATTAGGTGTGATCAATTAAAAAATAAAAAACAGATCTGAATAAATCAGTGTCATGTCATTTCGGTCAAAGTGATTCATAAGCGACGTGTATGTCTGTGTATATGTGCACCGTTAAGGATGAAAAATGTGTGACCTTTGTAATGACAAAGGATAGATTTTAATTTGTAATGTAATGGTGTGAAATTGTAAATAATATCAGATTAGGTGACTAGGATAGATAATCTAAGGAGAATGTATAGTAATGCCTTCTTTTCTATTGAGAGAAGTAAGATTAAACATTATATGAAAAGCTTCAGTTACTCTCCTTTCTTTGTAATTAGAAAAGTCTTTTTGTTATATCAGAAGGGGGTTTTGTGGAGATTTTAGTAATTTTATAGTTGAATTCATGAGTCAATTGAAGCTAGATCATCATGGAAAACCTCGAGGCACTGGACAACCGTTTTTTCCTATTGTGGAACTCCTCAATCCCGCCTAGCGAGATTCGAACCTAGGACCTATCAGTTTCGTGTTTGAACGCTTAACCTCTAATTTGATATTTTCGAAATCAATTTAATGATTGTTGAAAGTGGGTTGAACTGCTATTGCCTATTTAAGTTGAAGTCTATGCAGTTCTACAAGATTATTAGGAGGTTTCTTTGTGTACCTAATATATTCCTTTGGCGTAAGTCAAGATTTCACGAAATGACTCTCCAATATAGAAGTTATCACAATCGACACAGTCTAATTTGTAGACGCAGTTCTATATTGACAGGAAGAGGATATTTCTCTAAAGTGAACTAAAGTATTTCAAAGTATGTTCGTTGTTTTGTAATATACTTTAATTCTGTGTTATTTTAAGATCCTTTGGAGTTCTTCTGTTATACCATGATGATATGGTAAAACTGCAGTACCAATCCATGGCATTTCATTTGACTTATTATTATCACTACGTACTGAACTGTCTTGTTTTAATCTACTTCTAATAACCTTCATAGGAAAGTGATTAAATTGTAAGATACTAATTACATTCTCTTGTTCGTTTAGTTTATCCTTTTCCGAAGTGATGATTTTCTTTGCTTTTCTAAAAAGATTTAAGGCTAATGAGATCTTAGCACTGAAAGGATGTGCTGAATAGAAGTCAATGTAACGTCCAGCAAAAACGCCCTAGAAACTTCTGGAAAAATGATGAATTATTTATCATACTCTGATTAAATGAATACCAACTTAACCTTCTAAAATACCAAGGTTACACATAAACTCATAAATATTCTTATTTTCTGTAATCGAACTAGTCTTAGAAGTAATAAAAAAAACTCTTCATTTTCCCTACTATTTAGATTTTGTTCGAAGTTTAAATGATAAGAGATTACCACGACGCACTATATTGACTAGTATTGGCGATGGTTGGATGAAAGTTAGCGGCGGTCAAACTAAAACGTGGCATCAGTCCTTGAATTCATTAACTTCTAGTCTAACCCATGTTGGTAGATGCAGACTACTTGGTTGGGGTCCGTGTGACTATCGTGACCAATGGTTGGAGGATCCTAGGTGACATGGCTCAGAATCGATCACAATGGTGTAGGTGTACACAATCTTTATTTTCCCTTGAACCTTAAGATTAAAATTGCTTCATATCTGTCTTTCTTCTTGTACTATATCCTTATATACAATCGTTCTTTTATATATTAACACCACTAAATTATCTACTTCTATGAATTCGGTGTTCATCTTGTCGTGGTAATGAGTGAGGTATGGCAACTTGGAGAGATGCATATGTGTGCCTGGTCCTACGTTGTAGCTGACTGACTGTAAGGGACTATTAAGGAGATAAGTGTTAAGGGTTCATATACCAAATGAATGAAAGACAAAATAACAAGAAATGAAAACATTTGTCTACCTGAATGAATAGCCAACAGTATAGGTTCAATTAATTCATCTTTAATTCGTATAGCCAATAATCGTAAATTTCTATATAGAAGATTTAATTTGTTCACAGTAGCTAAATTAAGTATATATACAAATGAAGAGACGAAGAGAGAAAGAGGGGGGGCATTTAAAAAGAGACAAATTATGAAAAAGGAATAATACAACAATAGTAAACGAACCAATTTAATCAAAGATGAATAGTACCTAGCAGTGGAATCCAGTTTGACGAGCGTTTCGTCCTATTTGAGACTCGTCGGATGGATGTACCTGCCACATCTCAGACTTGTTGATGTTCACTCTGGGACTTGAACTCAGTACCGTTTGCTTCAAACACTATTGCGTTATTCACTCAGCTACTGAGTCCTGATAGCCACTTTCTTGTGAAATGAGGTGAAGTTTAAAGTCACTTGGTATTGTTTGTTTGAATCTTCCCATTGATGTTTAGGACTGAAATTGATCAGTCTTTAATTGGCATATGGGCACACTATGCGTATTGCCTCGATATAACCTTAATTCACAAGCATTATAAGCAAAGATGGATAATGGAATCCAGGACGCGTGTTTCATCCTATTTCGGACTCGTCAGCTGGACGCGATTGCATCTCAGGGTTGATGTTTACTCTGGGACTCGAACCCAGTATCTTTCGCTTCAAATGCCATTGCGTTATCTACTCAGCTACTGAGTCTTGATAGTCACTTGCTTGTGAAATGAGGTGAAGTTTAAAGTCACTTGGTATTGTTTGTTTGAATCCTCCCAAGCAAGTGGCTATCAGAAATCAATAGCTGAGTGGATAACGTGATGGCATTTGAAGCGAACGGTACTGGATTTGAGTCTCAGAGTGAACATCAACAAGTCTGAGATGCAGGTACATCCGGCTGACGAGTCCTAAATAGGACAAAACGCGCGTCACACTGGATTCAACTGCTGCCACCATCTATCTTTCTTTATGAACCAATTTAATGTTTACAAAAAGGTTTTGGTTTCAAAATACTTTGTACTCATGTATAAACTAAGTTTGTCTTGTTTATTGGATGAATGTAGGTAATCATAATATTTTATAGCTTACTAGAATATAAAACAACATCATGAGGTAATATACAATCTGTGAAATACGAACAAACAGGACAATATTGTGGGACATCTATTCCTAATCTTGTATATTGATAGACTTAAATGTGTGAAGTTTTGGAAAGTGACGTTATAGTATAGCTAAGTTGAAGGAATGAACTAGTCGATGTTTTAAGTTTCAGCTGGAATAAATATTGATAAGTCTTGCTAATTGATGGGCTATATTCGGATCCTAAGCTAATTTCGTACCCCCCTCCTAAGCTAGAACTACACAGCGACTTGAACACAAGAGAAAAGGCGCAAAATATACGAGGAGCACTTTACTCCAAAGGTTAATTTATATACAGAAAATATGGGGGTTTTCATAGTATTTTAGAAGTCCTTGGGTATTCCTGAAAATTCTAGAACGTTACTAAGCATAGTAACAGTGTAGTAATCAGTCAATCAGAAACTCTACATGTGACATTTCACTTTCGCGATGTTTCTAGCAAAACTTCTAGTTAAACGTTGATTGGATGAAATGCTTCTTAATGTTTCCTGAGCCTTTCTTGCCTATTGATAGAAAGTTTCAGGATCGCCCCAACAAATATCAATGAATTAGCTTCTAGTTCTAAGGTATTCATGTATCAACTTTTATAATGTCTTGGACATTGTTAGTCTTATTCTGTAATGTTAGACAATTAGAGGTAACTAGGAGGAAACTTTACTTGATCTAGGTTTTATGCTAGTTAGCACGTGTCATCAAGTCAAACCTGAAATCTGGAGGGAGTTAATGCTCTATGTGAGATTCAGAAACTCATTATTCAGCTTCATAGTCTAAAATAGTAAAGCTATCGAGTTATTCGATCCAGGAATGGATACTAAGTAGTGACCAATCAAATGTATTTTACGATTCTTTACCACTTAATTTGAATATAGTTATTCAATGTTACTTTAAGTGTATGACAGGTAAGTAGGTTGCAAACTCATTTTTTAAAACGAACGAAATTAAGCAACCATTCACCAATCTCATCAGTGAGTTGATATCTTCCAATAAACCTGGTTGAACTCTACTGGTTATTGCTTCTCACTAGAACTCCAGGAAATAACTCATGGAGCCAGTCACTAGTGAACACATGATCATTGCATCAAATCTCGCGAGGCGGGATCGTGGATGCGTACTACTGAGGAGTCCCATAATAGGATGAAACGGCCGTCCAGTGCTTCCAGGTTTTACATGGTGGTCTAGCTTCAATTGACTCATGCTTTCAACTATAAAATTACTAAAATCTCCACAAAACCTATTCTGATCATTTTTTTAAAAATTGTTTCTCCTACAATACTCTTTCAACAAACAAAACTAAATGATTGTTCATGAGATAAGTGGTACCAGGATAGAATATTCTGGCAATTGGTTACTCAATGGTAGCCCAAACTGGAACCTGTTATTTGAGCAATTTTTGACTTCTCCTAGAGCCCTTCTAGAGTTAATGCTAGTCCCAAACCTAAGTAGAGAATACCTGGGAATGGGGTTATCAACCTTACTCGGTAAAAAAAAGTCTAACCAGAAAAATCCTTTAAACCACTTAACAATGCAAACGTCTACCATTTTTAACATGTAACATAGTCAAATTCATTAATGCATGTCTTATTTTAACCTTTGTAAAATATCAGAGTAATTAGGGACTTATTTATTTATTTAAACACATTAACAATAAGGAACCAAATATATATGCGTCACACTTCACTATTCGATTTTCGTGAGGACTGGAATACTACTCGGGTACCAAAACTGAAGTAGGTGATTTTCTTAGGGGATCATTTCGCGAGACTTTCAACTAGGAGTTTAATTCACAAGACAGAGGAGCATCGTGAGGAGATGCAGTTTCATAGTGGTCGGTGGTTGGAGACTCTGGGTGACATGACTGAGAATCGATCACAATGATGTAGATGTATACACTCTTTATCTTCCCTCAAACTGTGAGATTACAATTGCTTCATATCTGTCTTCCTTCTTGTACTATATCCTTATATACAATCTTTCTTTCATATATTAACACCACTAAATTAACTACTTCTATGAATTCGGTGTTCATCTTGTCGTGGTAATGAGTGAGGTTATGGAAACTTGGAACGATGCATATATGTGTCTGGTCCTACGTTGTAGCTGACTGACTGGCTGGTGATTAACAATAGGTTCACACGCCATTTGTTCACTTAGGATCCTGGAGCCCATATGCACTATACGTTTGGAATCAGGGTTTTCCAACTGCTCTAGATGAACTCTCTGTATCCACCAACTCTGTTAAAGTGCCGGACATTCGCTTTTCGTCATCTCAATTTCGTAAACAACACCATCGCTGTGAGAAGGACTTCCTTGAAAATGACTGTATACGCGTGACCATATGAGACCATCTCGAAAGGGAAAGCGGATTCTCTCCACCATCCGTCGTACCAGGGTATTTAGGGGTCTGATGATGAAGCAATTGCAAAAACAATTGTTTGCTTAAATATTCCTTGTTTTTAAACATTTGTATAGAACACATCAAAACACTAACTACATCATATTCCCTTTACAAAAATGAATACTATGGTGAAAGATTCACTTACATTGGCATATGGCATCTTGCTTGATAAGATAAATTTTTGTTTGTAAAATTAATTGTTTTCGAATAGGATGATCTTGAACACTTGCTTAATGGGGGAATAGAAATGTAACAAAGAATAAAACAAACAAACAAACAATGCAATGGCATTTACTACTAGTACTGTAACAAACAAGTACACATATGTAGGGAGAACCAATGTATTTTGATACAAAACTACAGATTTCTCTGGTAAAACATAAAAACCATACGTTCAATAAGCAAAGATGGATAGTGGCTAGCAGTGGAATCCAGCACGCGTGTTTCCCCCTATTTGGGACTCGTCAGCTGGATTTACCTGTATCTCAAAGTTGATGTTCACTCTGGGACTCGAAACCAGTACCTTTCGCTTCAAACGCCATAGCGTTATCTACTCGGCTACTGAGTCCCGATAGCCACTTGCTTGTGCGATGGGGTGAAGTTTGCCAATTAGAGACTGACCAGTTGTAGTACTAACGCATCGACGGGAAGATTCAAACAAACAATACCAAATGAATTCATACGTTCAATAGTTTATTAGCAAATTCTCCATCGACTGTTTCAGTTTTTGTCGTTCCTTCATTGCTATTACAATTACTCTCTGTCCCCTTTTTAATCGGTTCGATCTCCCCAACCTTCTGCTAACAGGCATTCCACTTCTGAATGGTGTTACATGCTACTTATGTCGACATAAGTAGCATAAACCACACACTACTACTTCTGTATACAAAATAATGGATAGGTATTGTTACAATATTTTAGCTATCTGGTTAGATTCCCCGAGATGTTTGGATACTTTGTTTTAAATGATATACGTAATACAATGCAATTCACAGGTTACAATGGTACAGACCGAATTTCTCAGTATCTTCCATTCAGTTTGGATTTACCTATATTTTTTCTCTATTAGTTTACTGTTGAGTCTGTGCTCTTTGTTGTGGCCTTTCTACATCCAGTATAACGTATGGGAGTCATTTATCGAATCTCTTCAACGACTGTTCAGGGATAATTAAAGTAAACAGTTACTGTTATCAGCTAGTTCTCTTAGGGCGTCAAAAGATCCACCTAAACGTTTTTCACGTTGAACTGCTCTACCTCCTTAATGATAAACAACCAACGAATAAAATTTAGTACGTTTCTGAAGATAAAGAGCTTCTTATAAAATTCACTGTTTACTTTCTCAGTAATACAATCAGCAGAGTCGTAGATAGGAATGGAGAAAAAACAACGAGATATCTCCAACACCCCGAGCCTTTGACCTAAAGGTCTGATCCACAAGGCAGTGAAATATAGTGAGGAGATGCAGTCCCATGATAGCCGGTGACCAACGGTTGATTCATATACCATTTGTTCCTTCAGGATACTGAAGCCAGCCCATGTGCACCATAGGTTTGGAATGAGTGTTTTCCAACTCCCCTAGGTGGACACACCGTGTCCACCAATCCGATTGAAGCTCTGGACATTCGCTTTTCATTCTCTCAATTTCGTAAACAACACCCCTGATGAGAGAAGGCAATGAGTATGACGTCCCTGTCAGAGGCTGTATACACGTGCTCATATGAGAGCATTTGGAGAGAGAGAGCGGACTCTCACTACTCTCGGTCGTACCAGGGCATTTGGAAGCAGAAACTTAGATTAACATACATGGATGTCAATCTCCATATTGATTATGATTGATTGATTAAAGTATCATAATTACATTAATTGTTTTCTTTTCAAAACAAAAAAGAAAAAAAAACAGAAAAAAGAGGGGGGAGGGTCTAAAGTCAATAGAAATTTACCAGCAATACATATCATATTTCCATTTTGAAATAATGTAAAAATTACTTTAATAGAATGTACTTGAGGATAATTAAATGTTAAACGTATAATTGATGATCTTTGCTGATAATATTGATTTAGATCATCTAAATTCTAAAACAGTAAGCATTATATAAGAGTAAATATATACTACTTACATGTAAACCTTTATCAGTAGCAAATATATACAATGGAATAGCCATTAAATAAATCGATGAATATGGTTGAAAATTAGTTATATGATTAATTAATCTAAAAATAGGAGTAGTTAACTTTTAAAAGAGAGAGGGGGGAGAGGGGTGGGGGTGGGTGGAAAATGTTTGTTACTAAGGGAGAACATACTTCAATTTCTAATGATTGTTTAATATCATCTAATTTTTCCAATGAACGTATATATATGATATCCCCATTAACAATACCAAGATTAGATATAGATTGATTTGAATGATTTATATTATAATAATCTTTTGCATTAAGACTTATTTGAACATTTTCTCTGGATAATAGATGAAAGAAGAAAGGAAAAAGGTATTCATATTAGTTGTTAAGTAAATATTAACATTCGAAAGTAATATATGATCATGACATAGATTTTTTTTATAGAAGGCTGACAAAATAGTAATAAAACTGGGATTAGACTTTCATGAGCCGTCAGTCAGTCACAACGTAGAACTTCATACGTACGTACATCAGTTCGAGTTGCCATACCTTGAGAGCCAGCTACCAGGAACGTAAAATAGAATTTTACCATTCCTGATGATTAGGTTAGAGAATGGGAAGATATGGACACAGCCGGTTTCGAAATCCAGGTGAGCTTAATCTTTCCAACTTATCTTTATGTTATGCTGAAACTTGTGTCTATTTATAATTATGAGTGGGATTAAGGGTGTTGAAACCATAACTGTACTTGACACAGGCGCGTCACCATCCTTTATATAAGAGGAATTTCTGCAAACGCTAGACCGTGAAAACCAGGAAACACTATATTGTTCAGTTCTAATTACGGCTAGTAGTGCCCATTTGGAAGCATGCTATAAGATATGGTTGGACCTATCGCTAACTAAACATCATCTGTGATATCACTTCTTGACTTATCCTATACCAAATTGAGATGCAGTCCTGATATGCTTGAACTAAATTAATTCCGCGGTAACGAACGAAAGCCAATGTCACAATGACACGATAAGCTATTCTAATCTGCTGTCCCAGGCCCCGCTAACTAGATGAAGAAGTCCAAGGCAAGTAGGGGAATATATATGTATTCCGTAAGCAGCCGAAACAAGCAATCGAATAAGAGAAAACGTCAAGCGCATTTATACAGCAACAATTTGTCCTTGAGCATCATTAGCAAATAGCACACACAAAGAAACAATGGACTAATAGCGTCTAAGATAGTTTACAAGTAGGAAATATAACGTGAAGGTAAAAAGAGCGCGTTTGGCGCGAAAACAGCTAAATTCAAATTTTCAAAATGAAATTACAAAACTAAGCTATTTACCAAGTAAGTTCTAGGGGGTTGACATCCCCAACAAGTCCTCAGGAGGATTTCCGCTTTTAGATAACGTGTGCATTATTATAAACGAAGTGAAAATGGCAATATTTGGTTTTAAAACTCTTGCAATCAATAAAAACATATTTTACGCAACCAAAAAGTGAATTTAACAGTGTCTAATCTAAGCTAAATTACCAAACATAAATACTTATAAGACAGATGGTGTCTTGAAGTACTTGATGTGATTCAGAGTCTAGTCGAGTATTTAGTGAAGCTAAATAATATACTCCTCTAACTCTTACTCTAAATCTCAACCTCAAGTTTGTAAAACGGAAAGGTGGCGAAGCATTGTATTATAGCTGATGATGAAAACACTGACCCTAATTTGCATACTTAAATCGAAACTCCAGCTTGACTCCTAATACTGAATCCTAACATTTCTAACATTATAAATGATATCAGTTGGTGACGAAAATTCTATGAGAAAATAACTCTAACTCGCAAAACTAGTCTGACTCCAACCATGTAAACTTAACATTTCTCATGTATTATAAGGGACAACATAAGTACTGATGGCGAAGAATGTGTCACTGTCGTGAGTGCTGTTATGGTACGAGGCAAACACCTGACTGCGCAAAAATGCAACAGGGATTTCCCTCATGATACACTTAAAGAGTAAAACACCACTGGAAGTTGGTGATCAAGTTGCTACAGCATCGACTGAAGGGAAATGAAAAATGCGGAAACGAAGAAGAGAAGGAAATATAGTCCAAAACAAAGCCTGTAGGAAGATAAGTCCTTGATGGACTCACGCTCTGCGTTGCAGATTACTCCAGTAAAATCCGAAAGTAAGACAATATTTAGCCCTATCGTGAATGGGAAAAGTTTGGCCCCATCAAACATTGTCGTGAGTAGTTAGCAAGACTCATACGACACTGTTACAAGGAAAGCTAACAGTAAGATACCAACAGTTAACAGCCAGGATCCGACATCCCATTTGAAAGCCGTGAACACGACTCAAAAAAAAGTTAAACACGTTCCCAGCTTAATTATTTGGGATCTAGTAGAGTCGAAAGACAATGAACCTGCTAAAAGGCATACATACGATCTGGAGTTAGTGGAATTCAGCATCAGAAATGTACTGCCAGAAGAGGTTTCTGGGGTACATATCACGAAAGTAATAAGACTCGGTAAATGAGTTGGGGGCGAGACCCAACAAAAAAGAATCTTGAAGTTAGTACTCAGGAATTCTGAAGAAAGAGACGTGATATTGAATAACGCACAAAACTCGTGATTCAAATATTCGTACCCGACCAGATTGGCCGCTTGAGAATCGATTCAAATGGGAATGCAAAATAATACCTACCTTTTTAAACCAAAGATTTTTGTAGCAGATTCAAAAATCTCATTAAGAGTGGCACTAGCTGTTGCCGTCTCGAAAACATGGAACTTATTTAGAAACTTCAGCCTAAGTTTCATCTTTCAACTGCTTGGCTTGATATGACCTTGTTGCTTGATTGAGTAAAACGAAATTAAAAATCTTTTTGATCGACTGATTTTATGGTTAGGGTAATAAAGTCTTCAACCTAAGGGATGAGGAACAAATAATCGTGTCATTTATTGTCTTGGTGTTCCCCTTGGTAGTCGATAGGATACCTTGGACCCAGGTTTCGTGCTATTTGGAACTTGTTAGCAATGTATACCTGTGATCTTGAGAGCATTGATGCTCGCTGACAAATCCGATCTCGATCCCAGGTCAACTAGCCTCACAGTCAGAGATGTTGTCACCTCGCTATCTAGGACGTGGCTGACTACTAGTAAGATTGTGTTGTATTTACAACTGACCGGTCACTAGGTCATGATCAATGTCTGCACGATGGACAAAAGAACGAAATATCATGACCTGGCAATGTTTATTTAATGATAAAACATATTAATCTTACAATCTCATAGTAGTCCGCTAACAACCTGAATGTTTAGTGGTTTACTTTTCCTCCGAACTATAGTAGGCCCCTAATCATTTCGACATAGAACATCAACGAAGATCTTCTACAACCTCATTGATAACCAAATAATAATGTCGAGAGCAGTAAGGAAAGAACACATGAAATAAGTTTAACAGTACCAGATTACAAGCACCGGATTAGCAGTAAATGATTCAGCGATAGATGCTGGCCAACTTCCTGATATTTTTCAATTATATTCGCTCTCATTCATGTCGTTATTGTTTAGCAAACAACTCTAGTACTGTCAGAAAATTGTAGTGGTTAATAAATCCTCAAAATCAATAGCACTAAGGAAGCATTTGACAGTGTAGAAAGGAGAACATTATTTAGTCTTGTTCGATACTATGGAGGATCTGAGAAGATTGTCACTGTCATCCGAAATTGGTATAACAACTACAGTGCGAATGCGTGCATGGAGGACAACTGATGGATGCACTTCAAGCGAGGGGCGGTGTCAGACAAGGTTGACTGCTCTCCTCCTTTCTGGTTCTTTTGATGGTTGACTGGATTGTGAATACCTCCACATCTGAAGGGAGGCACCGAATAAAATGGACAACGTTGACGTAACTAGACGATTTGGACTTCACAAATGACCTGGACAAGGACAGAGTTCCATGGAGAATGCTGGTAGGCAGCTTACGCTCTTTTACGAGGTAAATAGATGTAAGGAAGTAAGTCACTCCTAAAAGACATTTGTCAGTCTAACTGCCTAATGCATTGAAATTTACACGTGATGTCAATTTCACACATTCTCAGCATCTAGTTTCTGTCTAAAAGTATAATAATCTTGACATAAGTCATTTATTTTTTTTAGCTGGTTGGCAGAAAACAGTCATATCTAAGTTTCGTGCTAGCCATTGCTCCTTAATAAGACTTTAGACCAACAGTAGCCCTAGAAGAGCTACAGGCGTAGTTTTATGTGTGAAGTACTCAATTGTTAACAATCTTCTAGTAAAATCATTTCACAATGCAATTTCGCATTTTGAAGCTTAAACAAGATGCAATTAATGATAAACTTAATCTCTTATCTGCTACTATAAGAAAACATTTAATTATTTATTATTGGCTATCTTTACTTTGAAGATACTGTAGTATCAGTTTGTTTGTTAAGCCCATATAATTTATCTTAGCTACTGGCCAAGCCAATTCGCCTATCCATTATGAGTCATATTTTGATCTCGTTCATTATTCGCTTATCAACCTTGGCTGTACTTTTATATGAGCATATATGTGTACACTTCGCATCTTATTCATCATATGTCTGTCACTCATTTTTGTCCGACTATAAATGTTGATTAACGCTTGCTTAAATCGAGTTGGCTTCCCAGCCATCTCCGATACGCATCATTTTTGCTTTGCTCTCGAGTTGGCTTCCCAGCCATCTCCAATGCATGTCATTTACGCCTCATTCGCTTCCTTCGCTTATTTGCCTGTTCACTCACTCGTTATTATTCGTTCAGGTGTTGCTAACTTTCTGACCTGAGTTATTCGACAATAAACTGTAGTTGCTGCTATCATTTGTCCTCTGATTTTACACGCCGTTAAGATTAGAATTATATCGGTTATCGAAACGAACGATTAACGAATCGCTGCACTACAATACCACCAGTATTGTAGTTTGATAACTATTAACCAGTAACACCTTCTATATTAAAATCGTCTCCCCTTGGTTTAAATCAGAAAACAGATGTGAGGAGGTTGGAAAGGTATATTTTATGCGTTATCAATATATCGAGAAGCGTTTTCTCTAATCTGGCTGATGAACGTAGGAGATGTTTCCCACGCTGAGCTGTAACGTGATTTGGTGCGGATGCATGACCGAACGCATTCAGCAAAATGAGTTCACTTAAAACAATGTGGTCAGCATGCAATGTCCAACATTTAAAAAGCTATTGATTTTGAAGAATTATTTACAGCAACAACTTTTTGCTCCATTCATAATCTAATGTCAGACTTTAAAAGTTAGTTTTTAAAATTTATACTACTAAATAGTAGTACAAAAAGTTATGTTTAAATTGTTGTCGGATATATATTACTATGAATACAGACAATAGGGATATATTCAATTAAGCTAATATAAGGAAGCACTAAAATATGAATAAACTAATGATAAGACTTTTTTTTGGGAAAAATTCAGTGATATTATCTTTAACCATTGAGAGGCCATCTGGAAACATCTGGGCTATAGATGAATAAAGTACGTAGTAAATTGGATGAAATCAGCAAGTCGCATTTAGGTTACATATTTTAGAAAAGATAATCTTGTCACTAATAGGTCGCTATTGATAGAGAATTCAAAATTTTGTTTTGCTTTGATGACATTTTTTTCAAAAATCATTTGTAGGACGCAACAAATCATATCTGCTAATTATGATACTATCTAATGAAAAAGGAAGATTTACAATCTCAGTGGTTATCAGGACTCAGTAGCTAAGTGTATAGCATGATGTCATTTGAAGTGAATGGTACTGGGTTTGAGTCCCAGAGTAAACATCAACAAGTCTGAGATGTGGCAGGTACATCCAACTGGTTAGTCACAAATAGGACGAAATGCGCGTCAAACTGGATTCCACTGCTAGCCATTATCCATCTTTGCTTATAATTTCATATATAGTTAAAAATTAATTGTACCGTTATTGATACTTTGATGCTTTTTCGCTTGTGAATATTTTATTGTAGACCATTAACGTTGATGATCTATGTGGAATGATTGGAGGCCTATTCGAATTAGACGGGAACGGTGTAACGAATAAACTAACTTCGAAATCACACCTCGCGATCAACATCTAACGTGAATCACCCCATTCGACGTAATAAAGTACTATGTCTGCTTTGAAGACTGTATAACACAAAGAGCATGATTACGTAAATATATTAATAAGAATGAGTACAGAAATTTTAATGTGATCACCACCGCATGAGCCAGTCCATAGAGTATGATTAGTTGATGTGCGTTATGTTGCTCTTGACTTTAATAGGGATCGATGATCTGTTCGATATTCAGTGATTCAACTCTCGAATCATTTGGTTAGGGCTTAGTGACATTTTACTGCGGCTACATTATAATCAAACTTTAGCAGAACTAATTGTAATTCTTGAAGTTGTTAAATGTTTGGAAAATTTGTATTTTCATTATCAAGAACTAACTTGATGTTATAACATGTGGCCGAATGAATGCCCTGTTAATGTATGACGTTATAAAAACCGCCAATTAGGGAGGAGTGATTTTATCGATTGGATCCAATTATACACAAAAACCGTATGAGCAATCTAGAATGCTAATCGGTCCTGCTTCTGCCTAGCCCAGCCAGTTAAGTCCAGAACACCAATAACGGCCTTCTGCAATATGAATCGTTATATTTCAAACATAATTGGTTTATGAACCAAACAAACAGACCACATCGTACCATAAAATAGAAAATAACATTTGTACAAGATTTGGCCAAATTTCGCTGTGAATAGGGGGAACAGTAATTAATAGATTGGGTATAACTCAGAAATGGAAAATCGTACAACAATAGTCCAGGGGTCAAAATAGAGCTCATAATAAAGGGAACATGAATATGAATACTCAAGTTCCTTAACGACTATACAATAGGAGATATACATATCCCATTGGTCTATAAATAGCTCTCAAAAGTTACCATTCATCAATCTCCACGGGATATAACACTGGAGTAGAATAACCCTTGAAAATTAAGAAGCATATGATTTCAGTTTCGTCTTGGTATAGGATTTCTCATCACTGTGCATTTATAACTTTACCAGGGACTAAATTTAATGTCATGAGACCTTATGAAGAACTCTTAGCTTTCACATAACTGAGCTTACTACTTATGATTTGCATTTCTAACTTCAATCAATTCGTTTGTAGTAGGCGTCTAATCGTGATTGACTATGATCACCAATATAGGGAAGATTACGTGCCAGGTAATAGGTTGAATCCCTCTGTAGGCCAAAAACCAGAGGGTAGTTGACGGTTGTATTAAGAGATATTTTTTGGCGATCTCGTGGTATCAAAAGAATATCCAGATTGTACTGAAGCGTATGAGAATTCTTGCAAGGTCACAGACAACGGAAGAAAGTGTGTGTTTGGTAAACTTAAACCAACAATTGCATTAAAACAATCACTTATACAATTGGTTATAATAATAATTGTTTCCATTATACTAATCACGTTCTCGTCACCAGCAACAGAGAACAAAAGACTTGTGTATAGTGGTGTATTTACAAGCGTTTAACAACATATGTCATGCAATGAGTAGTACACTGAAACAATATGTACGATCAGCTGGATGTACCTGCATCTCAGAGTTGATAATCACTCTGGGACTTAAACCCAGCACCGTTCACTTCAAAGCTTATGACTTCTAACAATATCGAGGCAGTCCGCACATGATGCACATATGCCAATAAGAGACTGATCAGTTGCAGTCCTAAGTAACAATGGAAAGATACAATTAAACAATACCGAGTGAATTTGTTTCACAAATGTTCAAGTTAATCCATTTCGATGACCTTGGTTGTGACTGATTGTCTTCACATACTCTAAAATCTTTGATTTCTGATTGATTGTTTTTTTTGGTCAATTGACCTTTTGATTATGTGATTGATTGACATCTTCCGTGTGCATCGTAAATGTATTGATTTTTTATCTTCTAATTAATGTGATATGTGAAGCACTGGACGACCGTTTAGTCATATTATGGAACTCCTCAGCAGTGCGCATCCACGATCCCGACTCACGAGATTCGAACCCAGGACCCATCAGTCTCGCGCCAGAGCACTTAACCGATAGACCACTGAGTTGGTCGGCATCCAACGATGTCAATGTCTAACTTCAACCAATCCAATTTTATTTATGTAACTTATCGTAAAGGTAAATAATCTATCTTACTAATAATAATCGCTATGAGTAAATGAACGGATTAATTTACGGTCAATCTCTTACATAAATCGCAATTTTCTCATCTAAAAAATTCATGAATGTTCAGTGTTATAATACTAGACAATAATGAACTATGAGCAAAGATGGATGGTGACTATCAGTGGAATTCCGTTTGACGCGTATTTCGTCCTATTTAGGACTCATCAGCTGGATATACCTGCATCTCAGACTTGTTGATGTTCTCTCTCGGGCTCGAACCCAGTACCTTTCTCCTCAAACGCCATCACGTTATCCACTTACCTACTGAGTCCTGATAACCACATGCTTGTGCAATGGAGTGAACTGTTTAAATTCACTTGTTATCGTTTCATTAAATATTTCCATTGATGTTTAGCACTGCAATTGATCAGTCTCTAATTGGCATATGTGCATACTGTGCGTATTACCTCGATATAGCCTTAATTCACAAGTATTATAACCTAAGATGGATAGTGACTAGCAGTAGAATCTATTTTGAGACGCGTTTCGCTCTATTTGGGACTCATCGGCTGGATATACCTGCATCTCAGACTTGTTGTTCACTTTGGGACTCGAACCAAGTACCGTTCATTTCAAACGCAATCGCCACGGAGTCCTGTTAGCCACGTACTTTAGCAATGGAGTGAACTGTTTAAATTCACTTGGCACTGTTTGTTTGAATCTTCCTATTGATGTTTAGTACTGCAATTGATCAGTCTCTTATTGACATATGTGCATACTGTGTGTATTGTTCATCTCTCTATTGGACTGTATATTTTGTTTAAACTTCACCCCATTGCATAAGAAAGTGGCAATCAGGACTTAATAGATAAGTGGATAACGCGATGGCGTTTGAAGCGAAAGGTACTGGGTTCCAGTTCCAGAGTGAATATCAACAAATCTGAGATGTGGCAGACACATCCAGCTGACGAGTCCTAAATAGTACGAAACACGCGTCCTGAATTCCACTGCTAGCCACTATTCATCTTTGCTTACTAAACTTTAAATAGTTTTCATACAATTCGAAATTCAAATGATTGCCACAAGCTTATTCATTATTAGTTTAACGATTTCAATATGGGAAAATGGTATAGTGATTATATTTAGTGATTTTTGTGTAGGAGTTTCTATGCCAAATTTTTTTGTTGTTGTATCCTTTATGAAAGTACAAAACACAGTTTCTTGCCAAATATTCTAACTAAATGCTATCTGCGTGTATCTGTGCATGTGTGTATCTCTGTGTATGTATCTGTGTGTATGTGTGTATCTCTCTCTCTGTGTGTATGTGTTATCGATCGGTAGTCATGTTCTGTTTACCCAGTTACCTATTGATCCCTTATATGTTTTGTATTTTAAAAGTGTAGTTTATCTTATTGCTTTATCAAATATACATTGTGCAATTAAACGAATCAATCAAGAAATAGAATATGAACATTAAAAGTTTTCGCTATTCTGATTGGTTCATTAAAAAATTAAAAAAAAATTGTTGTTGTTGATATGGCTCTGTAGACCAATCAGATGGCAAGGGGGGGGAAAGATTTCTTAGGAGAAAAGTAAGCAAATAAGGAAACAAATAAAGAAACTGGAATTTGGGACAAAATGTGTCATACATTCTAAAATAAGCATTTTCTTTGATCCATTTTGATAGTATACTAGTTATACTATTTATATTATGGACTAAATGATCCCATTATGATGATGCTTTACTAATGTTAATCCCTTCAGAGATCATATATATCATTCAGAAGGCATCAGATTCAAAGATGGTATAGACCTTCCATTGTGTGTGTATCTTGAATGGGACTCTAATAACCATGTTTAATCTTGTAGAAGCTATAATAATATGGATTTAGTAAAGACAGAAGCTACATGTTTACCAGCTGGTCGTTATGAATTTAAAGATTCTGGTTTATATATTGGTGAATGGTTAAATGAAAAAGCTGTTGGTCTAGGTTTAATTACTAAAGATAAATGTCAAGGTGAATATACTGGTTTATGGGATAATGGTTCAGAGAAAAGTGGTGTATTTTTATGGCCAAATGCACCAGGTGCTATGTATGAAGGTGAATGGGCACATAATCGACGTAATGGTTATGGTATATTTACACGTGAAGATTGGGTTATAATGGGACAATTTAAAGATGATTTTATTAAATGTGGTATAAAATGTAAAGAAGATTCAATTGGAAGATTTGAAGGGGAATTTGAAAATGGTTTTCCTAGTTTTGGTGTTGAAACTTATGCAGATGGAGGTAAGTTATGTAATACAATTAGTTTCTATCTTGGTTTCCTTTTTAATGTGTGTCTATATATGATGACAAAGATTTACAGGTAAAGAGGGTGTTTTAGAAGGGTTGTGTTCATTGAGTTAGATGACTCAATGGTCAACCTTTCAGTATCGTTCTGGACACCATCAATAACTCCTATTCCACATAGAAGTAAGCTTTTCACATACTTCACAGACGTTGAATCAACTACTTGCAATGACTTTGAGACAAATCAATTTCATGTGTTTCACTGTCTTTACTCATAGCTTCATTCGTTTTACCTCAGTTGTTCGACTGATCTTCAACCTTGTGACTGATTGAAATGTTTATACAGGTTCGTAGATCAGATCTATGTTGATGTGACTATTGACTGTCAACGGGTTTGAATCTTATGAGTCTTGGAATTCTCTGACACATATGAAGCTTCCTGATTAAAAATTTCAAGACTTTTCGATTGAATATATTGTCATGATGGTCGATATTGAGATGATACCAGTGCTAATCTATGCGATGCAATGTATAAGCTATATAGCTATATTGTAGTGCGGTCTACTTATATCCATATAAGTAGTATATGGCGATGGTTAGGCATTGAATGTATTTTGGCAAAAGACTGATAAGAAAAGAATTGAAATAAAGCGCAATTGATAGGAAAGTGCAGGAACAATGAAATCATAGACGATGAACTGATATTTGCAGAAGGAATAGTCAAGATCAAGACAATTGATTGATAGTTTGCAAATTAACTGTTTACTGTATGGTTATGAAATTCTAGTGAAATAGTCTGTAATTTGTGCTTAAATGCATTCGATTTTCCCCACTCATGTTCTCGTTTACTACAATATATGTAATATATGTATAAGCTATATTGCCATGTAGAGTTGAAGGTCTTATGTGAGATTGGAGGTTCACCATTGACATTGTGGAAGGTTCGGTATTTATTTGGCAAGTTTTGTTGACTGTTCATGTGGAAAGTTGGTTTGCTGGTTAACCGATATCATTCATACTGATGGTTGCTTTTCTGTGTTCTCAAGAGCTATTGCCATTGGAGCATTGTAAGGCATGAACGCCATTGCTAACACTAATGAGTTTGACTGTCGTGTACGCGAAATGGGTCAACTTTGGCCTGTTTATGCTGTGCATAATTGATTTATGCTATCACTGATCGAAATAATTATACATGTGATGTGAATGTGTATATGAATAGTGCAAATGGTGCAACAAGGTGCTTGATACCTGTGTGGTTGAGCCACAGGATTGAGCTGTATTATTCAGATTGTAGCGTTGAAGCGTGCATAGTGTCTGGTTCTCTTGTGGGGCGGGAATGAGCTGTACTCCAGTGAGCAGTGTCTGGCTATCCTGTTAAACGGGATTGAACTATACTGTTTGTGTATTCACGTGAACGTCTAGATGGTATCTAGTTCTTCTGAAAACCAATGCAAAATTACCCTGGCCTACAAGGGTATATTATATAACTGTGAACAGACTGGTTGATCCTGCCAGTAGTCATATGATTGCTTGCTTCCTGCTAATCTATAATATTATCTCACCGGTAGTCATTATTTATGTATGCTTAAGTTAAGATAGTATCTATATCCAAGATTGAAGGATAATAACAAAAGAAATATACAAAAACAATCAGTCACAAACAATTCCATCACAACAAACTGAAAATAACACCTGTCATCTAACTAAAAACCTTACTTCTACATCCAGCAAACGTTGATGTTACGCAAAACGTCAAAGAGACCTCGTAAACTAGGTTGTCTACTTCAGTGAACATACTGCTTATATATATATATATATATATATATATATATATATATCTGAAAAATTTGATGACCTAAATGAAGTCAAAGATGAAGAATATTAAGCAAAAACAGTGGCTTTTCATCCGTATAGAGTCATGGCTACATACCGTTAAGGAGTTTCCAGCTAAACTGTAGTATCTGTTGATGTGCTTCATAAATTGTAATGATTATCTGATCATTTCAATGATTGAAAGCATGAGTCATTTGAAGCTAGACCACCATGGAAAACTTGGAAGCACTGGAAGACCGTTTCATCCTATTGTGACTCCTCAGTGGCAGTGCGCATCCACGATCCCGCCTCTAGAGATTCAAACACAGGACCTATCAGTCTCGCGCGCGAACACTTAACCTCTAGACCACTAAGCTGGCCGGCATCCAACGATATTAATGTCTAACTTCAACTGATCCACGAAATTGAGCATAAACTAGGAAACTTTAATTATGGTAAAAAATAAATGTATTTCAGTAGTAGGTTCTAAAATGAAAGTTTAGCCGGTTAACTAGTATGTTATAAGTAACGAGGCATCATATATTGTTAGTGAATGAATATCTGATAACAGAATAACTGATTAGTAAGGAAAAGTCGTTTTGATTTAATGAAATTACGTCAGTTAGTCAGTCAAATCAGGTACATATACATCGGTCCAAGTTGTCACATCTCATTAGCACAACATGATGAACGGAAGCTTTATAGAAGCTGTTATTTCAATGGTAGCTCAGTGAACAAGAATACGGGTGAAGACAATTGAATATATTTAGGCACAAGATTACAGACTATCTCACTAAATTCTGATAACCATACCGTAAACAGTTAATTTGTAAGCTATTAATCAATTGGTAAGTAGAGATGGCTAGTGGCTAGTAGTGGAATCCAGTTTGACGCGAGTTTCGTCCTATTCGGGACTCGTCAGCTGGATATACATGCATCTCAGATTTGATGTTCACTCTGGGACTCGAACCCAGTACCCTCGCTTCAAACGACATCACGTTATCCACTTGGCCACTGCAGTCCTAACACATCGATGGGAAGATTCAAACAAGCAATACTAAATGAATATTAATCAATTGTCCCAATCTTGACTGTTCCTTCTGCAAATATCAATCCATCATCTCCGAGTATTATTTTACATGCATTATCATACCAATTGCATGCCGTTCCCGTTCTCTCCTTATCGATCTTCTACGGAAATACATTCTCTGCTTCACCATAGTTATATACTACTTATGTGGATATAAGTAGCTCACACCACAGTAGTAATATACAAGAGAAAGATTGTATAAGGATATAATACAGAGAGAAAGAATTAGTTTTTTAGAAAGAAAGATATAAGGTAATTTTAATTTCATGGTTTAAAGGAAGATAAATAGTGTATTCACCTATACCATTGTGATAGATTATGAACCAATGTTATCCAGAGTCTTCAATCACTGGTTACGATAGTCGAGTGAATCTCAACCAAGTAGTGTGCATCTATCAACATGGCTTAAACAAGAAGTTAATGAATTCAAGTCTTACCAATTCTCCTGTTAAAATCTTTACTAAATGAAATGTAATTACTAAGTGAATTAAACTAGTTTATTTGTATAAATTATTGTATGTAAACAAAATAGAAAGATACCTAGATAAATGATTGCTCTGATTATTAGAAGCAGAATCGGCCTTGTGGCTTCCTAAGGAACTCGGCTTTCATCATAAGGTGTCATAAATCTTCTAAATGAAAACCTTCTGACTCCTACGGCAGAGTTTAATTGGTTTGAATAATTTTTTTTCCGATTAGTGTTTTTTAACGAGTTAGTTTTTTATGGGATAGGATCGTTAACCCTATGCCCAACCCTCCTCCTATATCCGAGCTTGAGACCGGCAGCAGCTCCTAAAGGGGCTACAGTCGAAAGAACACTAGGAATTCTCAGATCTCATGACAATTACAATTGTCCACAAGTGTTTCAATGAAGTCATTTTGTAGCATGTTATAATCATAATTCATTGAGATCAAATGATTCTGATCTCATTCAACAATCGATGAATTAGTTTGATGGATCTGGTGTATCTTGAATAAATAATTTTTAATAAGTAGATATACCTTTTTGATGATGATTGTTGTAGTTTGCCAAGTTTTAGCTTCATATAATAGAACTGTTTTGATGTTTATATTAGAAAAATTTCGACTTTGATGAAAGTTGTTTTGAGTTCCACGAATTCCTCAATTATAGAGATACTGATCTTGTTTTGTCATTCTGTATCTTCAGTATGTACATCAGATACTTCTTATTTATCAATGATTCTGTTTAGATATGTAATAGCTGCCCCCACTTCTAGATCTTCTTCATCAAGTTTGGTTCGGTTGGTACTCATTGTGTTGTATTTCAAGATTACATTTATAATTAAAAACTGAGTAACACTGTCGGATACCAGCTCAGTGGTCAAGAGGTTAAGCGTTCGCGCGCGAGACTGATAGGTTCTGGGTTCGGATCTCGTGAGGCGGGATCGTGGATGTTCATTGCTAAGGTATCCCACAATACGATGAAATGGACATCCATTTCTTCCAGGTTTTCCATGGTCGTCTAACTTCAATCGACTCATGAATTCAACTATAAAATTACTAAAATCTCCAAAAAAACATCTTCTTATAGTAATATATAAGTCAACAATCAGTGATTAAGATGACATATAATAACCATGGCAATACAAAAATATCAAAAAACCAAATATCCAATAAATGCGCGGTAAAACTATACGTAATAAATCGGATGAAGACAGTTATTCATCTCACATAATCGATGAAGGGTTGAGCAAGATCATGAATCGATTGAAGTTAGACATTAGCACCGTTGGACGTCAGTTCAATGGTCTAGAGGCTAAGCGTTCGTACGTGACACAAAAGGTCATGGGCTTAAGTCTGACGGGTGGGACCATGGAAGAGCACCACTGAGGAGTCCCATACTAGGACGAAACGACCGTCTAGGACTTCTAGGTTTTCAATGATGGTCTAGCTTAGATCTACTCACTAATCCAACTTTTGGAATTACTACAATCTCTACAAATCTTCATAGTTCTAAGAGCTCCACTTCTTTCAATTGTTTACTCATATCTAACAGGTCTCTATTGATTAGTATTAGACAATTATTACCTTATTCCAGATTTACTGATTGGTCCTGTGTGATCACAGTTTATGATGAAACGTATGTGTAGATTATACAAAATATAATTTAAATGGGTAATAATAAGAAATCAGAATGGGTTTTATGGATATTTCAGCATTTTTATAGTTGAAATCATGAGTCAATTGAAGCTAGACCATCATGGAAAACCTGGAAGCACTGGACGGGACCGTGGATGCTCACTGCCACTGAAGAGTCCCACAATAGGACGAAACGGCAGTCCAGTTCTTCCAGATTTTCCATGGTGGTCTAGCTTCAATTAACTCATGTTTTCAACTATAATAATAATAATAAATTAAAACCGCAATAAATTGAAAGCAAATTTGCATAATGGCCAGTAATGGAATCTTTAGTTCGCCTTTCTTCCTATTTTGAACTTGTCCGATAAATATTCCTACATACCACTGTTGCATAATTGGTCGACTTTCTAAACACAGAATCTCAATGGATAACACCCTAGGTATTCAAAGATGAAGGCATTGATTTTAAGATTAAGTGTGAATAACAACACTGGGGTATGAGTTCATCTATCTAACAAGCTCCAAACAAGAAAGAACTCATGTTCTTGATTCCATGAAATCTTACATAAAAAAGAATGTCAAATCAAGATTTGAATATAAAAATGGATTAGTTATATTTCACAAATAGAATTCCAAGAACCGATTACATTATCAATTGATTACTGTTCAAATCATACTATTGTGATGTAGGTTACTTATATCCACATAAGTAGTATATTGCGATGGTAGGGCATTGAATATATTTCAGTAGAAGATCGACAACGAAAGAACGGGAACTAAACGCAATCGGTATGAAAATGCATGAACAATAATAATCGGACTGATATTTGCTTAAGGAACGGTCAAGATTGAAACAATTGATTAATAAAGAGGTGGTCTATCGGTTATGTTCTCGCGCGAAAGACTGGTAGATCCTGGGTTCGAATCTTGCGAAGCCGGCTCGTGGATGCGCACTGCTGAGGAGTCACAAAATAGGACAAAACGGTCGCCCAGTGGTTCCAGATTTTTCATGATGGTCTAGCTTCAATTGACTAATGATTTCAACTATGAAAAATTAATTCAATCAATCCTATCCAAACTAAAGGATGAAATGACAAAAGAAGAAAAAACTGAACATCATCTATAAAATAAATTGTTCCAATGACGGAAAATACTGCATCAAAGAAAGTGGATACTCTCTTCACCTTTGCCAACACGAACATGAATTAGCGATCAAATGCTATGACGTACTTTTTTTAACTTTACTTACGCCTGTTACTCCCAATGGAGCATAGGTCGCCGACCAGCTTTCTCCAACCCACTCTGTCCTGGGCTTCCTTTTCTAGTTCTATCCAGTTTTTGTTCATTCTTCTCATGTCTGTCTCTATTTCTCGGCGTAATGTGTTCTTTGGTCTTCCTCTTCTCCTTTGACCTTCAGGATTCCATGTGAGGGCTTGTCTTGTGACGCAATTAGCTGATTTCCTCAAGGTGTGCCCTATCCACTTCCAGCGCTTCTTCCTGATTTCTTCCTCCGCTGGAATCTGGTTTGTTGTCTCCCATAGTAACTTGTTGCTGATAGTGTCTGACCATCTGATCCGAAGTATCTTGCGTAGACAACTGTTAATAAACACTTGTATCTTCTGGATAATGGCTTTCGTAGTTCTCCACGTCTCCACCCCATACAGTAGAACTGTCTTGACATTTGTATTAAAAATTCTAACCTTTGGTGTTGGTTGACAATTGTTTTGAGCTCCAAATGTTTTTCAGTTGTAGGCATGCTTCTCTTGCTTTGCCGATCCGCGCCCTCACATCTGCATTAGACCCACCGTGTTCATCAATGATGCTGCCCAAATATGTAAAGGTTTCCACATCTTCCAAAGCTTCTCCATCAAGTGTAATTTGATTGGTGCATAATGTATTGTATCGGAGAGTCTTGCGTTTCTCTTTGTTTATATTGAGACCTACTGCTGCTGAGGCTGCTGCTACACTGGTCGTTTTCTCCTGCATTTGTTGTTGCGTTTGTGATAGAAGAGCCAGATCATCCGCGACGTATCAATGTATGGGGACAACTATGGATATACATTCAACTGGAAAAATGTTGAGATCTTGAATAGAGGGAATTCTAAAAAAGCACCAGAAAATTTTTGAAAGCATCACACTCAGATCAGTTAGCGATCATTAAACATATTGAAATCGATCCAATCTATCGACCATTCAGGAAAAATTATGGACAAATAGAGGACCAAAAATCAAATCAATGAAAGATACAATCAAAATAAAAAAGTAAACAATAACTGGTTAAAGGTCAACAACAGTCAATCAAGATCGAGATCTTCAGGACAAGCTGTGAGTTATATATGGAAAAATTCTAACACTTCACTTCAACCTGAAGTTTTTGTTGATGATATTGTTCAGAAGAACAATGAGAGCCCCACAACTAAATCATCCAGCTCAGAGAATAGAGCTCTATCAAAATTATCCGAAAATATTCACTCTTCGTCCTTCTCCTCCTTTTTCTTCTTTTCTTCTTCTTCTTCTTCATCTCCTACTACTACTACTACGACTAGTACTGTGGTGTATGCTACTTATGTCAACAGACATGAGTAGTATGAAATACCAATCGGGAGTGGGAAACCTGGCAGCAGAAGGTTAAGAAGATCGAGTCTAAGTGAACAGGTAGGGATTATGGATTGAAAGAATCATACAGAATGTGAAGGACAAATGATGGAAATTTGGAAATGAAGTAATCAATGTATAGTTGTCATATTTTATCAAAATATTCTGTAGTATTGTATCAAAATACATTTAGTTATCTCCGCCTATGTATAAATATTGGTACAAAGGGGTACCAAATACATACGTGTCACACAAATCTTATTTGACTTGTGTGAGGGCTATGGTACTGTCCGAGTGCCAAGACCAAAGCAGATGGTTTTCTTAGGGGGCCACATTCGGAGCATTTGACCTAAAGGTCTAGAGCACCATGAGGAAATGCAGTTCCATGGTAGCCGGTGAATAACGATTGATTCATACACAATTTGTTCGCTCAGGACAGTGAAGCCTATGTGCACCATTGATTTGGAATCAGGATTTTCCAACTCCACTAGATGGACTTGCCGCGTCTACCAACCCGGTTAAAGCATCGGACATTGGCTTTTCGACCTCTCAATATTGTAAACAACAGTAATGCTGAGAGAAGGCAGTGAGTAGGACTTTCCTGTCAGAGACTATATAAGCGAGGCCATGTGAGAATATTTGGAGAAGAAGAGCGGACTTTCCCCACTCTTGGCCGTACCAGGGCATTTGGGCGTCAGTCTTGATATAAGCTAATCATATGCATATATTTTTTAAACTTTAACAAAACAATATGTTTATTAGGTTTAAAAAGAAGTAAACACACTTTCTTTTTATTTTCCATTCTAGGAAGTTATGCTGGTGAATATAAAAATGGTGTTCGTGAAGGACTTGGTGTACGTACATCTATACCTTATGGAGAAGTAATAAACTTTTTCCCTGAAGAAGCTGCCATTGCTGCAGAAATCGCTTTAGATATTAAAAAACGTACAGCATTACAAAATCTTTTGAATTCAACACATCATGCTCATCATCATCATCATCATCATATTACTAATCATGATAGTAATATACATAATATGATCAATAACAATAACAACAACAATAACACTACCGGTACACGTCGTGGAAGTCTTCTAAGTCAAAGATCAGGTGATGCAGTTGAATTAGATGATCCAGAATTAAGTGGACAAGATGATATGGAAGATGAACCATATTATGGTCGACGTCCAAATCCATTAAATAATCATAATAAAGATTTTAAAGATTTACGTATGTCATGTAAATTTAAATGTGGTTTTGTATTATCATCACAACGTAGTGAATTAATGTTAAGACGTCAACAAAAATTGAATCATACAGGTAGTGGATCATTAATTAAATTTCGTGGAAGTGGTCATAATAGATCTGGTCGTCGATCGAAATCATTAACAAATCTATTTAATCGTTCATTAAGTAAAGAATCAATTACATGTGTACGACGTCAAGGTAGTATCACAGAACGTGGAATAGTACGTGGAAAAATGAAAGTAGAACAAACACCTGAATCAGTATTTACATTAGATCAGGTATGATAATCTAAACAGTATGTTCCTATCATACTTGTCAGGTACTATTGTGTAATCTGTTATATTTATATTGTTGAAAAGTCATTAGTCTTAAATACAGTCTTTAAACATCAATGAAATAGTGAAGTTACAATAACATTGAAAATTGACAAACATAGAACAGACGTTACTACCTATCATGGGACTTCATACCCGTACTGATCCATGACGCTTCATGTGTAAATTGAACTCAGGATCTTTGATCTTGAACATCAACATTTAACTTTTAAACCACTGAGCTGAGATCCAATCGTGTTAATGTCTAACCTCAATCAATCCTCAACATCGGTGCGACTATCTTTGATGAGTGTATGATTTCAATGAAATTCAATAATCTCCACAAAACCATACTGACGGTCCTTAAATAGATGAATAAATGTGTTAAACTAAGATGTGTGAGCTAATATTAAAATTGTTTACAGATTATAAAACTACACTTGAGTGTAGAATCTCAGGGGATTAGAATTGATGACTTCAAAGGTTTAGTGTCAACTAATAATTTGCTGGCAACATTCACGTTACTTAGTTATAAACATACTAGGATTTAAGAATTGAAAATCAATCCAATTATAAACAATGAGAGATTTAAATTCACTTAGTATTGTTTGTTTGAATCTTCCCATTGATGTTTAGGACTGTAACTCGTCAGTCTCTAATTGGCATATATGCATACTGTCCATATTGCCTCGATATAGCATTATAAGCAAAGATGGATAATGACTAGCAGTGGAATCCAGTTTGACGCTCGTTTCGTCCTATGTCGGATTCGTCAACTGGATGTACGCGCGTCTCAGAGCTGATGTTCACTTTGGGACTGAGTGGAAAACGTGATGGCGTTTGAAGCGAAAGATACTGGGTTCGAGTCCCAGAGTGAACATCAACAAGTCTGAGAAGCAGGTACATCCAGCTGACGAGTCCCAAATAGGGCGAAACGCGCGTCAAACTGGATTCCACTTCTAGCCACTATCCATGTTTGCGTATATGGGGTTGTTTCGTTGGAATTATTTTACCATTTATGTTAATTATTGACTTCAGTTAAGATTGGATAGTTGTTTAATTCCAATATGGAATCCCTCATCAGTGGGTACCAATCAACCAAAGTCATTTAGAGAATAAACTACAATAAGAACTATTGGATTGGTTTCCAGTGGCACACATTTTCAACCCAGATAAAGCACAACTAACTTCCAATGACATTACTAATTAATTACCTCATAATCGACATGGTTGGCCTTGAGTTGTCATGACTGAGTACTGGAACTCCAGAAATAAACCTTCTAAGTTAATTACTAGTAAAGCAACTATTCATCAGTGACTTTTAAACATGCTTGCACAATTCTGCGAAGTGACAGAAGTTAGAAGTGTAAAATATTGGATACCGACTTCTTTGTATAAACGTTGGACGCTCACCGTGAAACTTGAAGGTTCTGGGTTCCAACCTCAAGGTCGTGGATGCTCACTACCGAGGAATTACATATTAGGACGAAACAGTTGTCCAACCATTCTTAGTTGTCAATATTTGTCTAACTAAGATCAATTAGTAGTACAAATGATAAAAACACATCACTACAGTTTAAAAACGGGCTGCTTTCAGCACGTAAAGTAATGCTACGTTGATACCTTTTGAGAAGGTTTTGTCTTCACGAAATAGTATAAAGTAAATAACCAGTCAATAATCCACTATACTTTAGAACCATTCAATAGTCTTCAGCAACGACTATAGTGTATTTCTTGTCAAGTTATTTGTTTTATGGAGATAGTTACCTTAAAGCCCCCAAATACCCTGGTACGGCCCAGAGTGGGGAGAGTCCGCTCTCCCTCTCCAAATGCTCTCAAGTGGACATGCGTATATAGCCTCTGACAGGGAAGTCCTACTCATTTTCTTCTCGTGGCCGGGGTGTTGTTTACAAAATTGAGAGGACGAAAAGAAAATGTCCAACGCTTTAACCGGGTTGGTGGATACGGAGAGTCCACCTAGGGAAATTGGAAAACCCTCATTCCAAACCAATAGTTCACATGGGCCGCAGTATCCTGAGGGAACAAATGACGTATGAACCAATTGTTGGTCACCGGCTACCATGGGGCTGCATCTCCTCACGATGCTACACTACCTTATGAATCAGATCTTTAGGTCAAAGGCTCCGGGTGCGGCCCCCTAAGTAAACCACCTGCTGCAATTTGGCACCTGGACAGTATCGTAGCCCTCACACAAACCAAATGAGATTTGTGTGGCGCATATGTATCTGGTGCCCCTTTGTACCAATATTTATGTGTCTAAATAAATAAATAAGTTACCTTGAAGGAACTGAAGTGATAAGTGTAAACTTCTGGGTTCTTTCTCAGTGATCGATAGTTATTGTTTTTATATATATTTATATAATCAGGTAGATGCAATTGATCCTGAAACAGTTGAAACATTTGCTGGACAATGGGAAGCTGATTCACGTCATGGTTATGGTGTATGTGAACGATCGGATGGTGTTATTTATGAAGGTCAATGGGTAAAAAATCGACGACATGGTTATGGTCAAACACATTTTCCTGATGGTGTATGCGAACAAGGAAGATATCAAAATGGAAAATTAGTATTTTTATCATGGCCAAAAGGTGCAAAATCATATTTATTATTATATAATTATCATATTATGCGTGAAGTAGCTAATGCTGTAAAACGTGCTAGAAGTATAGCTGATGATGCATTTGTTAAAGCGAATGAAGCTAGAGAGAAGTAAGATATGATTTTATTATTATTTTTTCAGAAAAGGGTTTTGTGGAGATTTCAGTATTTTCATAGTTCAAATCATGAGTCAATTCAAGCTAGACCACCATTGAAAACCTAGAAGCACTGGACATCCGATTCGTCCTAATGTGAGACTCCTCAGCTGCAGTGAGCATCCACGATCCCGCCTCATGAGATTCGAACCCAGGACATACCATTCTCGCTCTAGAGCACATAACCTCTAGACCACTGAGATGGCCGGCATCCAACGGTATTAATTTCTAACTTCAACCAATCCACGAAATCGCTCAACCAACTTCCATTGTACTGAGTTAGATATCTGTCTCTACCTGACATGGATTAGCTCCACTGACCAGTTGGATGCCGGCTCAGTGGTCAATCTGTTAAGTGCTCTGGCGCGAGACTGGTAGTTATTGGGTTCGAATCTCGCGAGGCGGGATCGTGGATGCCCACTGCCACTGAGGAGTCCTACAATAAGATGAAACGGACGTCCAGTGCTCCGTGGTTTTCCATGGATATAGATTGTCCGTCTTCCTGAACTCTTAAAAGGTCTTAGATATATTTTTGAAAACTTTTGTAATGATCTTGGTTACTATTGGATATTTAGAGTTATGCTTTTTTTATCATGTACTGATATCGACTACTATACAGAGATATTTTGAAGTCAAATTGATAGCTGAGATTCACTCAAAGATCCATGAGGTTCTATTTCACTAGTTCACCAGGTTTACCTTTGTTTCACAATCAAGAGTTTTGGGGATTAGAAATCAGGGATAGTTTCAATTTGCTTGGTATGTACAGTCTAATAAGAAAATAGAATTAAGTACCCTGTTGTGGCAAAATGTAATTATTAACCTATACAAAGATATATCTACTAGTTGCTATGCATGATATTTGAATTCCATACAAACATTGACTCAGTGGTCTAGTGGTTAAGTGCTCGCACGCGAGACTGGTAGTTCTTGGGTTCGAATCTCGCCTCGCGAGATTCGAAACCAGAACACATGATCTCAACTATTGAAATTTGTATGATATCCACAAATACCCCTTCTGATATTATATAATTATCTTTATGCAACAATTATAACCGATTATGTCAATTTAAAAGTTACTGGGTAATATGTTTAAGGAGTGGTAAGGTAAGGATTTCCACAATTGATTGATCACCGGGACTACATCACCTCACAATACTCCACTACTTTATGGATCAAACCTTTAGGTCGAAGGCCCAGGGTGTGGTACCTTAATCAAACCGCCTTCTTCAGTTTGGGCACTTGGGCAGTATCATAGCCTCCACACAAATCGAATGAGGTTTGTGCGGTGCCCATATATCTGGAGCCCTTTTGTACCAATATTTATATGTTGAAATAAATTTATAATAAATAAATCTATATGAAGATCCTTTAACCTCTAGTTAGTAGTTACTCTGTAGCAAGGTTTCTTTTTTAGTAGATATAGTTGCTAACCTCTTTTATTCAGCTTTAGAAACGACAGTAATTCTAGAAAAGCTTCAATCACAGCTTATTCATATTCAATTATCTTTTTTCTATTAATTTAGTTTAAACAAAGTTGAAAATGCAGTACAACTTTCAAAGAAAGCTGCTGAATTAGCACGTGATTATTCATTAGAAACACGTGAATTAGTTAAAGAAATGTATCCAGATTTTGAACAACCTGGTAACTATTTTTTTTTCTATTTTTGTATTGATTATACTTTTCTAACTATTGTTTTTCAAAGTTGAAAACGTGAGTCAAATGAAGCTAGACCTCCAGGGAAAACCTGGAAGTACTAAACGGCCGTTTCGTCCTATTTAGGACTCGTTAACTGGATGGATCTGCATCTCAGAATTGTTGATGTCCACTCTGGGACTCGAACCCAGTTACTTTCGCTCCAAACTCCATCGCGTTATCCACTCGGCCAATGAGTCCTGTTAGCCACTTGCTTGTGCAATGTGGTGGAGTTTAAATTCAATTAGTACTGTTTGTTTAAAACTTCTCATTGATGTTTAGGACTGCAACTGGTCAGTCTCTTATTGGCATATGTGCATCTTGTGCGTATCGCCTCGATATAACTTTAATTCACAAGCATTATATGTAAAGATGGATAGTGGCTAGTAGTGGAATCCAGGACGGGCGTTTCGTCCTATTTAGGACTCGTCATCTGGATGCACCTGCATCGCAGACTTGATGTTCACTCTGGGACTAGAACTCAGATCTCAGATAGGGAACCTTTGGAAGCTACATAGGTATTGAACAGCTGTTTATTCTCATTATGAAATTCCTTAGTAGTCTGTGTTTATGATCCAACTTTGAATCAAACACATGACCTTAACGACTCATGTAGAGATCTGGCCTATTTTGTAATGTAAAACAGAAAATTCTTAACAAGCAAGGAGGGTTAAATAGTTGTTTATCTTAAGTTTATGGACTTCTCATCAGGAGCAACTTTGACTTATGAAATCATTCAAGTTGAAAATTAGACAGTAACATATCACCAAACAGAATCAGTATTGCATTAAATCATGAAATTAATTGATCTTTTCAGGGTAACAAACCACTGGATTTCGACGTATTAGTTCAGGGGTATTATAAGGACTATAAGGTTCAAGAAATATATATGATTGTGGTCAATGTCGTCCAATCTGTGTCGGGTGAAGACAGCTATCCACAATGAATGAGGGATTGAGCAATATCATGGATCGATTGAAGTTAGACAGTAACACTGTTGCATGCCAGTTCAATGGTCTGCGGGTTAAGCGTTCGCATATGAGACTGGAGGCCCTTGGTTCGATTCCCGCATTTCGGATCATGGGTGAGCTCTGCTGAGGAGTCCCATACTAGGACGACACTATCGTCCAATGCTTCCAGGTTTTCAATGGTAGTGTAACTCAAATTGACTAATAAATTGAAGTAATTTTTGTTATTCTTATCTCATCAGGAGTTTTGTGTAGATTTCAGTATTTTCATAGTTCGAAGCGTGAGTCGATTGAAGCTGGACCACTAGGGAAAACCCGGAGGCATTGGACGGTTGTTTCATCCTATTGTGGGACTCCTCAGCAGTGTGCATCCACGACCTCGCCTCGGATGCCGGCTCAGTGGCCTATCGGTTAAGTGTTCGTGCACGAGACTGGTAGGTCTTAAGTTGGAATCTCGCGAGGCGAGGTCTAGGAATAAACGGCCGTCCAATGCTTTCAGGTTTTCCCTGGTGGTCTAGTTTCAATTGACTCACGCTTTCAACTATTCTCATCTAATACAATTCCACTTATTATTCATAATAATTCTTTATCAACATCTTCATTCAAGGTATAAAATATTTAGAAGATATGGTACGTCTTATGAATATAACAAAACGTGGTAATCAAGCATTTGATACAGCACTTCAATCAGCTAAAGATGTTCTAGCCTCGGTTGAAGCTAATCTAATTGAACATGAACATGAACAACAACAACAAAATCAAGATGATCATCAAAAGATGGATTTCAATTATTCATCATTAGATCTAGATCTAAATCAACCAATCAATAATAATAGTAGTATACCATTATCAAGAGCTGGTTCCTATCATTTAAAACGTCATCATAAACATCATTCAAATAAACATAAACATGGAAATGATAGAATACAATCTGTTGAAATGAAAAACATTGAATATTCAGTAAGTTTATTGGTTATTATAAATATTTACCTTATTTTATAATCTTAAAGTTGAATTTATGAATCAATTGAAGCTAGACCAACATCATGGAAAACCTGGAAACACTGGACGACCGTTTCGTTCCAGTGTGTGACTCGTCAGTGGGAGTGCACATCCACGATCTCACCTCGAGAGATTAGAACCCAGGATCTATCAATTTCGCGGACAAGCGCTTAACCAAAATGCCCTGGTACAGCCGAGAGCGCGGTGAGCACGCTCTCCTTCTCGAAACGCTCTCATATGGCCACGCGTATATAGCCTCTGATAGGGAAATCCTACTCACTACCTTCCTGTGGCATTACTGTTGTTTACGAAATTGAGAGGACGAAAACGAATGTCTGGTGCTTTAACAGGGTTGGTGGACACGGGAAATCAACCTAGGGGAGTTGGAAAACTCTGATTCTAAACAAATGGTGCACATGGGCTCCAGTATCCTGAGAGAACAAATGGTGTATGAACCAATTGTTGCTCACCGACTACCATAAGACTGCATCTCCTCAAGATGCTCCACCGCCTTGTGGATCAAAGGTTGGTCAAAGGCTGGTGGTGTGATTCCCTAAGAAAACCACTTGGTTCGGTTTGGTCACCTGGGCAGTATCACAGCGCTCACACAAATCATATGGGATTTGTGTGGCGCATATTTATCTGTTGCCCTCTTGTTTCAATATTTATGTGTTCAAATATATAAAAATAAGATCATTGAGCCGGCATCCTGTTATGTTTTTGACCTAGACTGTAGCCAATTGTTATGACTTGATCAAGGTCGTCGCTGATTCGTTATGACCTTACGAATTTCACAAGGACGTAATCCGCGTAAATTATCCACCAATAGAATACGCCTTCTACGACCTTCACCCTGTGACAATGACGTTCGATTAATATGAGTAATGTAGCGTCCTTATTGGTCCTTATCCGCCTAACCCGTCCACTTGAGTCCAGAACACCAATAGCAGTTGCTGTAATGCGAATCATTTATTTCAAACATACTCTGTTTATATACCAGACAGACAGACCACATCGTACCATCAAATAAAAAATAATATTTGTACAAAACCAGGCCAAATGAGGCTGTAAGCGTGGGAGACAATAATCAATAAAACTGAGCATAACATCGGGACAGTAAATCAAATAGTAATAATCAATAGGTCAAAATGAAGCTAGTAATAAGATGAATATAGATATAGATAATCCAGTTACTGAATAGTTATACCATAGGAATATAAATAGATTAATAGTCTAATAAGAGGTCCCGTAAGTTATCAGTACTTACTTTTTCCTAGTATATAACACATCCGATGGTATTTATGTCTAACTCCAACCAAAGCACGAAGTTGAACAACCGTTCACTAACTGTCTTCAGTGAGTTCCTATCTCCCAACGGCCATCCAGTGCTTCCAGGTTTTCCCTGATGGTCTAGTTTCAATTGACTGACGCTTTCAACTATGAAATTACTGAAATCTCCACAAAAAACCCTTTCATTTGGTATTGTTTGCTTGATTCTTCCCATTGATGTTTAGGACTGTAAATGGTCAGTCTCTTATTGGCATATGTGCATCCTGTGCATATTACCTCGATGTAGCCTCAATTCGCAAGAATTATAAGCAAAGATGGATAGTAGCTAGCACAAACAAACAATGCCAAGTGAATAAAGATGATTTTGAATGTCTAGAACCATTACGTTGTAATCAGGGCTTAGTAATTTATCGACCTTATTCATTAGCCTTCCCTTATTTATTAATATTAACCATCTTAGTGACTAAATATTGATAGAATTTGCTTATTTGTTACTTAGCTATTAATTAAATTTAACTTATTCATAATTAACTACATACAGTATTCCCAAACCCCCCTATCTTAGATCTGATTGATTTGTCAATAAAGTGTATTTTTCCCAGTTTATTCAACATTCTCAATATAGGGATTTGTGAAGATTGTAATATTTCCACAGTTGAACTAATGAGTTGACCCAAGCTAGACCATCATGGAAAACCTAGAAGCACTGGACGGATGTTTCGTTCCAGTGTGGGACTCTTCAGTGGTAGTGCGCATCCACGATCCCAAACAAGGGACACTAACACCACGACCTTCGGTGTCACATGTGATCACTGAACTGGTGTCCAACAGTGTTAATGTCTCACTTCAGTTGATCCATAGTCTTACTCAACCTTTCATCTATAGTGTGATGTGAATAATTGTTTCCCACTTGAAATGGATTTGACTTTGTTGGTCAAGGTTATTCAACATTCGACGAATCATTCATTTAAATAAAACGTAAAACACTCATCAGTAACTTTTCTTCCCTTCTTTAAGTCGAATTAATACATTTTGACTTCGACATCATCACTAATACTGTCATAATACCTGTGAAGAGAATAGGTTGTAAATAAAGATAATGGATAAGCATACAGACACAGGCGAACACGTACAGAAAACGTACATCTATAGATAGTCGTAAACGATCATGAGAAATAAGAAGTGAATAACCACCAGTTTCCTCAAGATTACAGGTCCACCTTGTTGGCGAATGCAAAGTAGAACATAACTCGGGTCCAGAGTTTCCTGTTTACCACCTCCAACAACCATCTTATCTCAAGTGCACGCAGTGTCGAGCCACCTGGACTAATGGCCACATTACAACTTGATCGATAGCATTCGATCAGCACTAAGACGGACTTGACACGCATGACATTGATCACCACCCAGTGATCAATCAATTGTGAGAGGATAACTATTATTAGTCATGAAATCTCCTAACTTTATATTTGTTCATAAAAGTTCAATAGATAAGCCGGCTACATAGTCTTCATAAATCTGTTTATTACTATGGGGGGGGGGAATATATGGAAACTTTTGGATTTCATAGTTAGTAGTATCATAAACGATTGAAAACCAAGGGGCATTGAATAGAGTCACAGTTACAAATGTATCATACTGGAGAATAAGTTTACTTTGATTTTTAAAAGTTAGATGTCAACCAAACTTTTACTACCTGAAAAGTAAGACACAATTACGAGACCTAATCAGTCAGCTACAAGGTCCGAAGGCGAAGTCGTACTGTTGACTGTACAGAGGTGTGGCGGCAGTAAGGTGTTTCCTTCAGACAACCAGCATAACAGCGATGCTGCCTTCTTACAAGGAGGGTTGGTGTTAGAAAAGGTCGACCCTAAAAATGTACACCTCGCCTTATCCTACGGATATCCGTCTCCGACGGTAAGGTCCCAACAAGTATGGAGCTAACACAAAAATTACCTAAAAAAGGTCGTGTGTGACCGACCTCAAGCAGTTGCCCCTTGGGCACTACGGTCACGGTCTCAGGTCATTAAAACCACTTCTAATCTAATTACGAGACGATAATTTATGGACGAATCAATCAGATGCAAGATAATAGGTCTCTAATCCATTTAACTAAATAAAGTTTTGGTATTATAGCCGATGTCAATTCATCATGAAAACCCCCAAATTGAATTCCTAACCTTAACCATCAATTGTAAATCATCATTCTAATTCCTCACACCAGTTTATAACCCTCATTTAGTCCGAGTACGTAGGTGAACAATCTCATGGTCAGTCCAGCATCATCAGTCATCAGTCCATAAATATTATATTACCACATAGTTACGAAGACATCTATTTATTCATGATTGTTTAACGAGGATGAAATAGTGAATGTTAACTAGGAAATATCTATACTGCCCCAACTAACACCTCAAGTCCAGGCCTGAGGCAACGTCGGCAGAACAGCACCCTTCCCCTCCTGGTTGGCAGCGACACCAAATGTAGTGAACAAGAACAGGAGTGGGAACAATCGAATGTATTAAGACACGAAATTAAAGAATATCCTACTAAGATCTGATAACCATAAAGTAAACACACTTTGTATTATTTGTTTAAATCTTCCTATTGATGTTTAGGACTGCAACTGATCAGCCACTGATTGGCATAAATGCATACTGTTACGTCTGGCCGATTGTGAACTCTATATTCGCTTCCCTAAGCTAGTTCCGTACCCCCGAGCTAGAACTACTCCGCGACTTGAAGACCAGAGAAAAGGCACAAAGTGTGTGAGAAGCACTTTACCACAGGGTTACTTAATGTACAGAAAATATAGGGATTTTATAGTAATTTAAGAGTCCTTGAGTTTTTACTGAAAGTTCTAGAATACTGCTAAACATGGTAGCAGTGTATAAATCAACCAATCAGGATCTCCACATGTGACTTTTCCATTTTCGTTATTTTAGTAACATAACTTCACATAACTTCTAATTAATCGCTGATTGGTTGAAATGCTCCTTGATGACCCCTGAGCTTGTTATGTCGCTGGCGAGAAAAATGCAGGGTCATCCCAACACATATTGTGCGTATTGCCTCGGTATTTCCTTAACTCACAAGCATTAAAAGCAGAGATGGATAGTGGCTAGTAGTGGAATCCAGGACGCGCCTCCGTCTTATTTGTGACTCGTCAGCTGGATATATCTGCATCTCAGACTTCGTGATGTTCACTCTGGGACTCGAACACAGTAACGTTCGCTTCAAACGCCATTACGTTATCCATTCGGCTACTGAGTCCAGAGTGATCATCAACTCTAAGATGCACGTACAACCAGCTGACGATTAGCAAATAGGACGAAAAGCTCGTCAAACTGGATTCCACTGCTAGCCACTATCCATCTTTGCTCATCCAGTAAACAGTTAATTTGCAAGCTATCAATCAATTGTCTCAATTTTGACTGTTCCTTCTGCAAATATCAATCCATCGTCTCTGATTTCATTGTTCATGCATTTTCATATCAATTGCGTGCCGTTCCCGTTCTCTCCTTATCGATCTCTTAATGAAATACATTCTATGCCTAATTATCACTATATACTACTTATGTGGATATAAGTAGACCACACCACAATATTGTTCTATCTTCTAATTCTGGATAAGTGTTCTTCTGGGTATTTTATATATACTGATATCTTTCTCTATTCTTCTTCCATTTTATTTAGACTGGAACCGATATCAACAAATCATTAACCCTTCAAATACCACAATTGAATATTGATTCTTCATTTTCTCAACGAATCAATAATAATAATAATACCATGGTAACAACAACAACATTAGAGAATAGTTTACATGTACCAAATCATAATTATTCTATAAATAGAATAGATAATGATTTATCATCTGAATGTGATTCAATCGATGGTGAAAGTCGTACAACACGAAGTTCATCCGAAGCATCAAATTATATAATTTTACCAACATGTAATTCAAGTTTATTCATTTTTTTGTATTGTCCTATTCTATTCTATTTTGTTGACTGTTAAATATAACCATTAGAAATAGAGGATATGCGATGGTATGGCTGAGAGTGGGAAGTTCTACTCACTGCCTTCTCAAGGCGGTGTCGTTTACGAATGTGAGATAACGAAAAGCGAATGTTCGGTGCTCAGAGAACAAATGGCGTATGAAACAGTCGTTGGTTATCGGCTACCATGGGACTACAATGGACTCATAATTTCAATATAATAATTTACTGAAATTTCCACAAAACCCCCTTCTAATAATAATCATATGCTCACTAGTGAGTGGATTCAAAAGGTATTTCCTGGAGTTCTAGTGAGAAGCAGTGACCAGTGAAGTTTAACCAGGTCTGTTGGGAGATATCAACTCACTGAAGACATTGGTGAATCGTTTCTCAATTTCGTGGATTGGTTGAAGTTAGACATAAACACCATCGGATGCCGACCAGCTCAGTGGTCTACTGGTTAAATGCTCACGGGCGAGACTGATAGGTCCTGTTGTTGAATCTGGAGAGGCGGGATTTTGGATGATCACTGCTGACGAGTCCCATACTAGGACGAACGGGCCATCTAGTGCTTCCAGGTTTCCCATGATGGTCTAGCTTCAATTGACTCATTATTTCAACTATATTGAATTTCTAAAATCTTCACAAAACCCCCTTTCTGACATTTCATAAAAGCAAATATTTTAGCAATAGTAGAAGGATTGTATGATGGATACTATTGACAAACTAAAGCCGTCATCACAAAACTATTTCAGATAAAACGTGATCATCAGCTTACTGATAGCTTACTTCATGATATTACTGAAGTTCTAGTAAGAATTCATGATCAATGGAATGCAGACCTGTCAGAAGTAAAACGGTTGTTAGTAATGGCATTTAATGATAGTTGTGGTTGGAATTATATTATTCGATACTAGTCCAGGAGTTCTACTGACTGGACGTTTGTTGCTAAGTTAGATGGTTGGGGGTTCGGTTCCTAATAGAATGCTATACTAGGACAAAAAACAGCTGTCCAATGCCTTTACAACTTTTAATGGTACTCTAACGGAGATTAATGTGTGAGGAGTACTATCCACATATCTTATGAATGAGATACTTTAAACAAACTCATTTTTATATAGGTAAGATAATGAGTCAATTGAAGCTAGACCACCATGAAAAACCTGGAAGCACTGGGCGACCGTTTCGTCCTATTGTGGGACTCCTCAGTGGTAGTGCTCATCCATGATCCCACCTCACGAGATTCGAACCCAGGACAAAACGGCCATCCAGTGCTTCCAGGTTTTCCATGATGGTCTAGCTTCAATTGATTTATGATCTTATCTATCTAAAATTACTAAAATCTCCATACAAACCTCCCTTGTGATAAACTCACTTCTGTTTTTTTTTAAAAATTTTTCTTTATTAGTTAACCTTCTCAAACCTCAATCAGAACCATTAACCATTCCACTGAATAAACTAATGTCAAATACATCAGTTATGGATGATTATTTTGGACATTATAAAATTACCCCAAAACGATTACCTTCATTATATAATGAAAAACATCATTCCATGGAGAGGCTAACTGAGAACATAGAAACTGGAAACATAGTAACTATGCCAAATCGATCTATGGATCGATATGATGATGATCATGATCATTTCAAACAATTGGATCGTGATATGAAAATTGCAACATTTCCACGTTCTTCAGAGAATGTTGAATCATCTAAACGAGTTGTACGACGTAGAACATTACCAGGATTTTTAACACAACCTCCATTAGATTTAAGTAAATATACAAATTTGGCAACATTACAAGAAAATGGAATTATGGTAAGGTTTTACTATGGTTATAATCATTACATAATAATAATAATAAATTCATCTGGTATTGTAAGCAGAGATGGATAGTGGCTAGCAGTGGAATCCAGTTTGACGCGCGTTTCGTCCTATTTGGGACTTGTCAGTTGGATGTATCTGCATCTTAGTCTTGTTGATTTTCACTCTGGGACTCGATCTCATTACCTTTCGCTTCAAAAGCCAACAGGTTGTCCACTCGGCCACTGAGTCCTGATAGCCACTTGCTTGTGCGATGGGGTGAAGTTTAAATTCATTTAGTATTGTTTGTTTGAATCTTCCCATCGATTTGTTAGGACTGCAACTGGTCAGTCGCACAAGCAAATGGCTATCAGAACTGAGTGGATAACGCGATGGCGTTTGAAGTGTAAGGTACTGGGTTCGAGTCCCAGAGTGAACATCAACTCTGAGATGCAGGTACATCCAGCTGACGAGTTTCAAATAGGACGAAACGCACGTCCTGGATTCCACTGTTAGCCACTATCCATCTCTGCTTACCATGCTTGTGAATTAAGGCTATATTGAAGCAATACACACAGTATGCACATATGCCAATTAGAAACTGATCATTTGGTATTGTTTATTTGAATCTTCCCATTGATGCTTAGCACGTATCTTATATCTACAGTTTAGATTCTTGCTATGCCACGTACTACTAGACTACTTGAACAATTGAACCCGCAATGTCGCAAAAGAGAAGACAGAAGTCTAGTAAGTAGAAATGTTATTCCCAACACAGTGTTCAATATGGTACAAAAACCTCATATGTTTATAGTTTTCGACTGAACGTAAATCATAATTTCGGACAGCCAATAGGCACATAGGGGATCATTCTTATTCAAACAATAGGAGAGCTACACGTTGACATTCTAAAATGTTCATCTAGCGATGGTTGGACGGAATATCTTCGGCTCTTTCTGGGCTTCTTGAGTTTGCCAACGAGCCATCCTAACAGTATATATATAGGTATTGAGGTAAGTGAACATTCAATTGACAAGTCTCTTACTTACTTACTTACGCCTGTTACCCCTCGTGGAGAAGCATAGGCCGAACACCAGCATTCTCCATCCAACGCCTTCCTGGAATATCCTTTCCGGTTCTTTCCAGTTAACATTCATCCTTTTCATATCTGCTTCTATTTCCCGACGTAATGTGTTCTTTGGCCTTCCTCTTTTCCTCTTCCCTTCACGATTCCATGTTAGGGCTTGTCCCGTGATGCAGTTTGGTGATTTCTGTAATATATATATCCGATCCACTTCCAACATCTTTTCCTAATTTTCTCTTCAGCTGGAAGCTGGTTTGTCCTCTTCCATAAAACGCTGTTGCTAATAGTATCCTGCCAGTGAATGTTGAGTATTTTGCGTAGACAATTGTTTATAAATACTTGTACCTTCTTGACGATGGTTGTAGTAGTTCTCCACGTTTCAGCACCGTACAGTTGGACTGTTTGACAACTCTCTAACAAGTTAAAATAAAAAGTATACAACAAATAAAAGATTTTTAGCCGAATATTGATTTCACCTCCAAACAACCAATAAATGGGAAATAAAGGCGAACAAAGGGGAAAATACATTGGAAAATAAGGGGGGAAATAATGCGGAAATGCTCCGAAATGTCTGCATTTAAGTCTGTCTGGGGGAAATAAAGCGGAAATTTCCCCTTTATGTCGCTCTGTGTTTCAAATCTTGCTAAATTGTTGATTTCCCCCCAAAATATCCGACGAATTGGTCAAGTACTTGACTAAACTCTTAGTTTATTGATTTTATCGACAATAATTTCATTTTTTTTGTTTTTTTTTTTAAAAATGGAAACCAAATCTAGCCTAGTAACAATACATTAGATACTGAATATAATCAATCATCTAATTGGAATCCTCAAAATAACCCATCAACTATTCCACATTTATCGAATCATCAAGTTACCGACAGTAATAGTAACTATGACCAATCTTCTGATAATCCATCAGTTATTTATTATACAGATAATGGTATACGTAAAAGAGCTCATGCTTATTCTCCCAGTAATAAATCAATCCCATTTCCTAATATATCACAACAGAATTTAGTAACTATGGCAACTAAATTGGATTCTTTGAAACAAACAACAATAACAACAACTACATTACCTATATCACTTTCAACTACTACTACTAATAATAATAATACAATGTCTACAATTACAAATACATTACACAAGTATCCTTATTCAAGAATGAATCAATCACCATTAGTTGTATCTAATGTAATGATTGAAGATCCACAAGATCAATTAACACCATTACCAATATATTATAAAGAATCAAGTATTGATTTATCACAAGTAAGTAATGAATGAACTGTTGTTGTTATTTAGGATTGCAATTGATCAGTCTCTTATTGGCATATCTGTATCCTATTCAGACTACCTCGATATTCCTTGAAGTCATAAGCTTTATAGGCAAAGATGGAATAACAATGGGAAGATACAAGTAGCCAACATCAAGTGAATATAACTTCATTCCATTGAACAAGCAGGTGGCTATCAGAACTTGGTAAGTGGATAACCTGATGGTATATGACATGAAAAGTACTGGATTCGAGTCATAGAGTGAACATCAACAAGTCTGAGATGTGGCAGGCACATTCAGTTGACGATTCCCAAATAGGTCAAAACGCGCATCCTTGATTCCACTGATAGCCACTATCCATCATTGCTTACAATGCTTGTCAATTGAGGCTATATCGAGGCAATTCACACAGTATGCACATATGCCAATAACACACTGATCAATTGCAGTGCTAAACATCAATGGGAACATTCAAGCAAACAATATCAAGTGAATTTAAACACTTTACCCCATTGCCCAAAGAAGTGGCTAGCAGGACTCAGTAACTAAGTGGATAACGTGATGGTGTTTGACGTAAATGGTACTGGGTTCGAGTCCTAGAGTGAACATCAACAAGACTGAGATGCAGGTACATCCAGCTGACGAGTCCCAAACAGGACAAAACACGCGTCGAACTGGGTTCCGCTGCTAGCCACTATCCATCTCTGCTTACTGTTTTGTTTTCTTATAATATAAATTATATAAAAGTAAACCGTCTTGGAATAGTTTAGTGGATATCAATCATCGAATACTACACCGAAGCACTGTACAACTACCGAGGCTCAATAGCTGTTTTTGCATTGCTTACTTAGAATCATTACATCATTCATTCTTTCTTTTATTATTTGGGCGGACTCATTTTTTCATTTTTTTGAACCAATAATAATTATGCAATGATTCTTTGTAGCTTTCGTAATCATTTGTAGGGTATAGGTAGAGTGGTTGATTAGGCCGATTTCCATCATCCCTGTTACCGCTCATGTTAGTGCTGTTGTACCGTGCTTCGTTAATCGTTCATCTTAATAACCGTTATAATTTCAATCTTAACGGTACATAAAATCAGAAGGCAAAGAGAAGCAACAACTACAGTTTATTGTCAAATAACTTAGGCTAAAAAGCTGCCAGCACCTGAGCGAATATCAGCAAGCGAGTAGCAAGCAATTACATAGGCAATTTTTAGCTAAATTTAATAAGGGCACAGCAAAACAAAACAAAAGCTGATAATAGGATTTGCGTGCATATATATATGGGGGTGAAGTATGAGCCATCGAATGATAATTAAGCAATCAAAAGTACATGGAAACAGTCTCATGATCCAGGCGGCACGACGAGGATGTGTAAGTCGGGTTTTGCCTCTCGGATGCCAATCATAAGATTATTTATAAGAGAATGTTGTTACAATTGCCCGATGGAATGAAGAGTTTCAATGAGTTGGAGATGCAGTGTTAGCATAATACTTGGAGACTAGACGAGAAGACTGGTCAGATTGAAGAATACACTGAAAGATGCAATTAGAAGATTGAAGACTATGCACATGTAATAGGTAAATATTGTCACTTCTCACGATAAACACACATTCCTGCTGCCTATTATCTTACCTTACAGTAGTATAGATATATCAGTTGGTAGTTTTAAAGAACATGATCTTCAGTTTTTTGACGGGAAGATAAGAGGTCAAGTAACCTACTATGAAGATATAGTCTTGTTTTGAATGTATCAACAACAAGTACTTGACATCATCTAATCTAATAGAGAAGTTCCGTAATTCATAGCTCGATATGACGAAGGAAACTCCAGACATAAATCATCCATCAGTATACGATAAATCAATGTAAGACCACTTCATAATCTACAATGAAAGTATGTTGATGCGTTTCAATCTGTCTTCCTAAAATAGGTCAGAGCTACTTCTCTTCATCATTTTAATCCCTTGCTATTAAACGCTTTCATGTATATCCATTATATCAATCTGTTATATCTGAAGCGGTTACGAGTTCATTTAGTCTGCGAACGGAATAAAGACTTATGACCAGAGATCAATAAGCTATCTATTCTGGCGCTTCCCAGACCCGCTAACTAGAATGAGAAGTCCAAGTTGGATGTGGGGAAGGTATATTTCGTAAACAGCCAGAAGCACAAACAATCGCAACAGGAAGAAATCAAACGCATATATATATATATATATATATATATATATATATATATATTCTGATCCTTATAGTTATATCCTTCATACGTATCTGATAAGTCTTGCTGTAGGAACCCTCGATTCGATTTCCTAACCGCTTCTAATAATTCCAGACTTAATGTACACGACAATGAGAACACAAGAGGAAAGGCAGGAAGTGCAAAACCAAAGACTAGCGATGAGTATATAATTAAGGAGTACACCGCAACATGATAATCATAGGAGGATTTATGCTTTGAACTATGCATGGGATTCGTAACTGCTAGATGATTGGAGGTAGTTGACTGAAAACCCTGAATTTAGGAGCTTTGATAACTGACAGTCGTTAGTAAAATGTATCAGTAATCTTAAGAGAACAGATGTTTCTCAGTAGATTCGATACCGTATCACCCAGCTTTACAGTCCGGAACACTAATACTGAGCCAGTCGAGTAATGGATGACCTCTTGTAGGACTGAAATATTTACAGTGATTTGACTACTGGTTAGTGATCAGTGTTATATTTATCTAGTCCTTCAATGCTGGCCGATATAAATCTAGATGACATGAATTTAAATTCATTCATCAGTTCTCTCAATATTGTAGGCAAGCCCTAATGGAGAATAACAGCTAACACGAAGTCTTTGATGAGAGTTTCCTATCGACTATCACTAACCACCTCATACATCAACATAGCGAATACCTTATTGATTCATTAGACTAGTATTGACATTGTTAGAAAAGATGGATAGTGGCTAGCAGTGAAATCTAGTTCAACACGCATTTCGTCCTATTAGGGACTCGTCAGCTGGATGTACGTTCACTCTGGGACTCGAACCCATTACTTTTAGCTTCAAACGCCATCACGCTATCAACTCAGCTACTGAATCCTGCTAGCCACATGCTTGTGCAATAGGGTAAAGTTTAAATCCACTTAGTATTACTTGTTTGAATCTTCCCATTGATGTTTAGGACTGCAACTGGTCAGTCTCCCATATTGCAACTTGTTCAATAGAACTCGATCAGCTCTAGGAAGAACTTGATACATATAACAATATGTCAATACTCAATGATGAATCACTTGTAAAACAGAACTGACGAGTAATTGAAAATTTTTTCATAGTTGAAATCATAAATCAATTGGAGCTAAACCACCATGGAAAACCTGGAAGCACTGTACGGCCGTTTCGTTCTATTCTGGCACTCTTCAGCGGCAGTGCGCATCCACGATCTCGCCTTGCGAGAATCGAACCCAGGATTTACCAGTCTACCAAACTATGAAAATTGATTACTGACATATACTCATTCCATTCAATTCTTGATTATTTTCGTTTCTTTTTTGTCATAGAGTATTAAACGAGGAAGTGTTCCAGATGTTACAAAACAAAGTTCTACTTTATCTCCAAATGATTTATTAAAATTAGAAGAGGAGCATAAAAGAAAATATGAGAATATATTAGATAGAAAACGTCAAGGTGAAATAGTTATACAACTTGTGGATTTCTTTGTAAGTTATTATTCTCCCCCCCCAACTATTTGCTTTCACTGGTGATCGTGAACTGATCGAAGTTTGATATCCGTTGAAAATTGGAAGGCACTGGACGTCTTTTCTGCTAGAGGCGGCCAAACCAAAACATGGCATCAGTGCTTTAAGACACTAATCTTTAGTCTGAGCTATTTTGGTAGAGGCAGACTACCTGGTTGGAGTCCGCGAGACTATCGTAACCAAGGGTTGGAGACTCTATGTGACATAGCTCAGAATCGATCACAATGGCGTAGGTGTATACACTGTTTATCTTCCCTTAAATCTTGAGATTAAAATTGCTTCATAACTTTCTTCCTTCCTATACTATATTCTTATGTACAACCTATTTTTTATATCTTAACACCACTAAATTAACTACCTCTATGAATTCGGTGTTCATCTTGTTGTGCTAACGAAGTATGGGAACTTGGACCGATGAATATATTTGTCTGGTCGTACTTTGTAGCTGACTGTTCTGTATTGGTATGAGTTTCGTCAATAGGACGTATTCATAACCTCACTAGGAATCGAACCCTATAATCTTCAGGTGTTGTGACGAGATCCTAATATTGCGATCACTGAGCAGTCTTTAAATGATTTATGTTGTCTAACTGAGATTAGTTTGCAGTATTGTACAATCATCTTTCATTGTCTTCGGTGGAATTCAATCCTGTTGGGTATGAGGTAGTTACTCATCCATCCCATTCATGAGTAGTTTTGCAATATCGTAAACTAGTTGAAGTTAGAAATGTATGCCACTAGATCAGTTGTTTACAAGTGTATTCACAATCTCACTGGGAATCAAACCCTATAATCTTCAGGTTTTGGGACGAGGTCCTAATCTTTTGACCACTGAACCGTCTTTAAATGATTTATGTTGTTTATGAGTTTTCCAACTCCCCTAGGTCGACTTTCCGTGTCCACTAACCCGGTCAAAGCACTGGACATTCGCTTTTCGTCCTCTCAATTTTGTAAACAACAATTCTGCCACGAGAAGGCAGTGAGTAGAACTCCCCTGACAGAGGCTATATACGCGTGGCCACATGAGAAGGAGAGCGGACTCTCCCCACCCTCGACCGTCCCAGGACATTTGGGGATTGGGTATATACCACTAAGATATCCCTTGGTAACCAATTTGTTCAACATTTAATTATTATGTAACTGATAAATTTAAACAATCAAAAACCTTATTCATACTTTTTTTATCAGTGTTCTTCTTCTTATTGTTGTTTTGTAGGATTGGTGCCGAGTTAATTTGTCTATATTAACATTTATATTGATCAATTGTATTTTGGCTTGTTTCTTTTACATCATCATTTACAGTTGATAAACATTGAAACATTCTTCCGTTGTATAAAATTTTAGAATGTCAACCTATTACCATACATACATACATTACGCCTGTTACCTCCTCATGGAGGAGCATAGGCAGCACACCAGTATTTTCCATTCAATCCTGTATTGGGCAGTGAACCTATTACCAGACATATATACATACCATCGACTATGAGAGACAGAATGGATCCAATAGTTATGATCATCAATTTGTAGAAAACTAAAAGAAAAAACAATAATATTCCAAATGAATAGTTTTGCTTTCTATTGGATCTTGCTCAATTCAACCTTGTAGTTTGAATATATTCGGAATTTTTAATAGTTGAGATCATGAATCAATTGAAGTTAGCTAGAGTTCCATAGAAACCTTGGAAGTACTGGATGGTTTTCCATGGCGGTCTTCACTTCCATTGATTCATGACCTCAACTATTCAGATGACTATCATATTCACACACAAGAACCGCCCTCTTCTGACATTATGAATTGTCAACAATCATTACAACTATTATATAATGAAGATTGTACAAATCAAGTAATAAATTATATATATACATTGTAATTGAATAGGGTTTTTGTTTGTTTAGAATGATAGGTTTACCGATTTGTTGAATCTATTGAATATTGAACAATGATACATAACTTCACTTAGTATTATTTGTTTAAATCTTTCCATTGAGCGGATAACGTGATGACATTTGAAGAGAATGAGACTGGGTTTGAGTCCTAGAGTGAACATCAACAAGTCTGAGATGCAGGTACATGTAGGTGACGAGTCTAGAATAGGACGAAACGTGCGTCAAATTGCATTTCACTGCTAGCCACTATCCATCTTTGCTTATAATGATTCATAACTTTTTGAAAAATAAATTTGTAAGATACATACACCATCGACTATAAATCTGTGATCTGATCTTATTAGATTTATTTTGAGGACAGGACATAGTCCTGTTTGTTGAAGATGCTGACAAAATGCAGAGTCTTCTCATAGAACTGAGTAATAATTACAAGATGTTTGGGATGCGTTTTCCCCCCTCTAAATGTAAATTGCTGCTCCAGGACTGGCCTGCATCAACACCTGAACTAAGGATAGGGAATGAAGTAGTCGAACGCGTCGACAGCTTCACTTATCTTGGAAGTCTGATCAGTCCTAATGGGTTGGTGTCTGACGAAATCTCAGCACGGATTCAAAAAGCTCGTTTGGCTTTTGCCAACTAACATCACCTATGGCGAAGACGAGATATCCATCTATCAATTAAGAGACAAATATACTGCGCAGCAATTCGCTCTGTTCTACTTTACGGCTGTGAAACATGGCCATTAAGAGTACAAAATACTTACAAGTTACTAGCATTTGACCACAGATGCCTTAGAAATATTGCTCGCATCTGCTGGGATCACCAGGTAAGTAATAGTGCGGTTAGATGCAGGGTATTAGGGAATGGTGGTAAATCAGTTGATGAGGTTGTGAATCTTCATCAACTAAGATGGTTGGGCCAGGTCTTACGTATGCCTGAACACCGATTACGACGACGCGCTATGCTGACTAGTATTGGGGATGGTTGAAAGAAAGTTAGCGGTGGCCGAACCCAAACGTGGCATCAGTACTTGAAATCTATAACTTCTAGTCTGAGTCATACTGGTAGATGTAGACTACTTGGTAGGGGTCCGTGTGACTATCGTAACCAATGGTTGGAGACTCTAGATGACATGGCTCAGAATCGATCACAATGTATGTCAAAATATTACAGAATATCTTGGTAAAATCTGGGATCTATACAGTAAATTGATCATTCGCAAAATGTCAATCAATTGTCTTAGACTTGATTGTTCCTTGGCTTCCACACTAATCACTCTCTATTCTCATTCTTTTCTCTTCGATGTCGTCAGGCATTCCACTTTCGATTGACGATACATACTACTTATATCAGTGGACATCAGTAACACATACTACTGTGTGAACTGTTTTTACATTATACTAATGTCGACCATTATTTGATATTACTGTATTTTACACTGTCGATTCCATTGCATAAATTGATAAAAGTCAACTTTGTATCATCAGCATTTGTTAATGTATGAAACAACAAAGGAGTATAGCTAATTGATTGACTTACTGGTTTAGTTTAATCATTTCAACTTTACTACTGAAATCATAACAAATCAAACTAGTTCTGTTGTAAATGTTTAAAGGTAGTACTGTCTTCTATGAACATTCTTACCTCAGTACAGCATCCAGAATACCTATTAACGAAATCCAATTGAATAATTGTTGATGAATACACTTTGATAAAAGTTGGCTTTCTATTCTGAGAAGAGTTCTATGTGTGAACTAATCATTTGTGAAAAGTGGAATGGAGAGTAATGAAGTAATAAACAAACTAGGGATTTCCAGGTCTGTCCAATATGAATGACAACAGTCACGAATGGATCAGTAGACAAGTCGAAAATAAGACAATGTACACAGATGATGTAGACTTCCTCTCTCATACACACGAACAAATACAGGTGAAGACAAATAATGTAGCACCAGCCACTGCATTAATAGGCCTCAACACACACAAGGCGAAAACCAAGATCCTGAAATTAAACACATAACACCAACTTAATTACATGTGACGGAGAAACTCTGGAAGATGTGGAAACATTCACGTACCTAGGCAGTATCATTGATGAACAAAGAGGATCTGTTGCAGACATAAGGGCAAAGATTGGGAAAGCAAGTACAGCATTCTTACAGTTGAGGAACATATGGGACTCAAAACAACTGTCAACCAATATCAAAGTGAGAATCTTCAACATGAACGTCAAGACAGTTCTATTGTATGGAGCTGAATGTTGAAAAACTACTACAACTGTTGTATTCCCTGGCGAATTATGAATCATAAATCTGAGGTCCATTTATGGACAAATGTAATACGCCTATTCCTATTGGATAGTTGTTAAATAAATGACTTAAATCTGAGGTCTATTTATGGACAAATACAATATGCCCATTCTCTATTGGATAGTTGTTAAATAAGTGACCTAATCGTTCCGTGTTCCTCTTATCATAACCTTTATTTTGACCTTGGAACTATTATTATTGATTACTTTACCCCTAGCTACAGCCACATTGGCCAATTACTGTACAAATGTTATTTTTCTATTTTTTGGTATAATTGGGTCTGTTTGGTTAGTATATATAACCCAGTGTGCTTGTGAATAATGATTCATATTTCCGAGGCTGTTATTTGTGTTCTGGACTCAACTGGCTGGGCTAGGCAGTTAGGAAGGACCGAATAGCAATCGAGACTGCTCGTACGTATTTTCTGTATCATTGCACGTTTCATATACAATAACGATTGTTATACGAGTCATAACAATTGGCGACGGGGATTCTGAAAAAAAATACAGCAGCCGCTGACGTCATTTTGGAATTAAATAATCCGTAATAGTTGCCGGTGTTTTTTTTTGGATTATTATTATTATTTGCATTTTAAAAAAATGGCTTTAACTTGCGACCAATTTCAGTTGCTAATCCAGCGACAAGAGCAGCGCTTCAGAAAGAGTCAATTGGATTTCATTGACAAATTACACGCGAAGCTGCTGAATCACCCATGCTTTGGGAGTGAAACGGAAGTTGACGCAATAATTTCAAAATTGCGTACAGAGCTGGAAAACAATTACAGAACTAATGAATACGCCGGCGAAAGCCTCAATGAATCCATACGAAGCAATAATTTAAGCGCAGCAGTTATACATGATCAGCCCAGTAACCCAGTACTACCTGTTTCAGAGACATGCCCTGTACACGGTCCAAGTCTTATTAATCCCGATAACGGACGTGCAAACAATGAATTATCCTATTCACAGAAAGTAAATGTCTTGCAAAATGCTCATGAAATTGCTGCAGTACCCGCCCACGAAGAAACGGGAAACAAATCGAGCAGTATATGGAATACAGTGGCACCAAATGAAATTAATCATGATACGGAAAATGTTTCTAATGAATCTAATGATCAAAATTCTGTAATTGTTCTACCAGATTTAGATTATTTTGATGATTCATATGTTTCTGTTGAATTCTCTTATAAAAATGAGAGAAAAATGTCAGATGTATTTAATGATAATCAAGAATCCAATACAGCTCTCATAGATACTGATTATCCTAATGATTCATTATCTACTAATGAGGTTCCGAGGAAATTCAAGAAAACTATTTCAGAAGAATCAAATGTTGGTGACATCGAATCAAATGTCGTCGATCCTCATGATCTCTTCAGTTCTAATGCATTCCCTGTTAAAGGTGACAAACATATCGCATTAATAGTAACTTGGCTATATGAGGATCCAACAGTCTTTCGTGGGGGAGGGTGAATTCGAGAAAATTAAAAATCCGGATTTCTCAAAAAGGGGAGGTGTTGTATTCCCTGGCGAATTATGAATCATAAATCTGATGTCCATTTATGGACAAATGTAATACGCCTATTCCTATTGGATAGTTGTTAAATGAGTAACCTAAATCTGATATCTATTTACGGACAAATATAATATGCCTATTCCCTATTGGATAGTTGTTAAATAAGTGACCTAATCGTTTCCGTGTTCCTCTTATCATAACCTTTATTTTGACCTTGGAACTATTATTATTGATTACTTTCCCCCTAGCTACAGCCACATTGGCCAATTACTGTACAAATGTTATTTTTCTATTTTTTGGTATAATTGGGTCTGTTTGGTTAGTATATATAACCCAGTATGCTTGTAAATAATGATTCATATTGCTGAGGCTGTTATTTGTGTTTTGGACTTAACGGGCTGGGCTAAGCAGATAGGAAGGACCGAATAGCACCCAAGACTGCTCGTACGTATTTCCTGTATCATTGCACGTTCAGATATATTATAAGGGCCCAAAAATCTATACGTTATATCAACAACTATCATCAAATAAGTACATGTATTTGTGAACGATTGTCTACACAAAATACTTAATATCCGTTGAATGGATACCATCAGCAACAACCTATTGTGTGAGAGAATAAACCAACTTCCAAATGAATAGGAAATTAGGAAAAGACGCTGGCAGTGGACAGGATATACATTGAGGAAATCATCAAACGGCGAGACTATAATTTATGGATAACCTTTGAACGAATCCTAAGTGACCTTGAGAAATGTTAGCCAATCAGTAAACAGTCAGCATACAGTAAAAATATATTATACAAAACTAAAGAATTAAAGTGGATACACTTCTTTTATATGATCGAAAAACTTATCAAGGTTAGAAAAAGGTTCAAAAATCGTAATACAGAAGGTAGAGGAACTTATCCATATGGCTCAATAATACTCGGTCTCTGGAGCCATGATATGGTCGCGAATACTCTTTCAACCTCTAACACATAGCTTCAATATTGTTTGTGTATACTCATGTTGTGTAAGTTTATCAATTTTATTATTCATTCCACTGAACAACCGAAGCTTCAGTAACATCTCCGATTATTGCAGCCAATGTTACTGGTGCTTTTATTATAAAATTCGCGGCAATTATTATAATATGCCTGTTTCAATCTGGATCGAGCGAAAGAGGTTTCTATTCTAGAAAACGTTTTCCTTCAACATATGTTACATCGAAGAACAACATCACGGTAGTTTGCACAAGGTCTACAAGCCGTTTATTGTAGCGGCTTAATTGTCAAATCTTCTCTGAAATCCTCTGTGAACCGATCGTACATGAGCATCAGCTACTGAAATTGGCGCCGTGACCTTGAAATCCCTCAAACGCTTCCGACTGCCCACTGGGCGGAGAATGGGAAGCAGACATGAAAAAGATTGAGCAAAACGGAGTTGGATGGAGAATACTGATGGGCAGCCTATGCTCCTCCACAAAAGGTAACAGAGTACCCATAATAACATGAATAATAATGGTAGAAACATTTCTTAAAGGTATAATTTAATTATTGGCATCAACCGAAGAATTAAGGTAGCTTATAAACATAATAAATGAATATACAGAAAAATACAGTAAACGTGAACTTTTTCCACCTATATTATTATTTAAACACATAAATATAAGTACAAGGGGGTACAATATGTATATGCGCTGCACACATCTCATTTGATTTGTGTCAGGGGTGTGACACTGCCCAGGCGCCCAAACTGAAACAGGTGGTTTTCCTAGGCGGCCACAACTAGAGCCTTTGACCAAGAGGTCTGATCCACAAAGCAGTGGATTATCGTGAGGAGATGAAGTCCCATGGTAACCGGTGACCAACGATTGATTTATACGCCATTTGTTCCTTCAGGATACTGAAGCCCATGTGTATCATAGGTTTAGAATGAGGGTTTTTCAACTTCAATAGGTGGACTCTCCGTGTCCACCAAACCGGTTAAAGCACCAGACATCCGCTTTTAGTCCTCTCAATTTCGTAAACAACAGTAATGCCACGAGAAGGCAGCGAGTAGGACTTCCCTGTCAGAGGCTATATACGCGTGGTCATGTGAGGGCATTTTAAGAGGGAGAGTTGCCCCTCCTCACTCTCGGAGCCGTAGTAGGGCATGCATATGAACTAGTAATACCATAATGATAGAAAAGAAAAAAGACAATCAAAATCATCAACAATATAATTTAATCTCTAAAATCATTAAATTAAACAAGGGTGAATGTGTATTACAGATTAGAATGATTGACTAGGAATGATACATACATACATGCATAGGTAAAAGAGAAAGTATAATCCTATAAATGTATTATGCATTTAAAATTACTTCTTTTGTTACTCCATATTCTCTATTCACATTTCTTCAACATAATCACCTAATACGGGATTTCGAATATGATCAAGACATTGAATGATTTTAAGTTCAATTCGTGCTGATTTAGACATGTTCAATAATGATTCTAAAAGATAAATTTAGGTATTAAAAAAAGACATCATTGAGAGATGACAGTGAGGAGAAAGGGGATTAATCGTCTATCACTAAGGTCATTTACTGATGGGAAACAATGGAAATCAACAATTTTCACAAAATTTCCTATAATAATAATAATCATGTGCTTAGTAGTGATTAATTTCGAGAGATTAATCGGGGAATTCAACTGTGTCGAGTGTGAGGCAGTAATTCGCTGAAAATAATACAAAATGGCTGCAAAATCTTGCAAAGTAATTGAAGATATAAATATAAGCAACTAGGTATCGGCCCTAAAATGCCCTGGTAAGGCCGAGAGTAAGGACAGTTCGCTCTCCCTCTTGAAATACTCTCATATGGCCACGTGCATACAGCTACTGACAGGGAAATCTAACTCACTGCCTTCTCGTGACATTACTGTTCTTTACGAAATTGAGAGGACGAAAAGCAAATGTCCAGCGCTTTAACCAAGTTGGTGGACACTGAGAGTTCAACTAGGGGAGTTGGAAAACTGTTGTATCCCGAAGAGAATTGCGAACGGTAACTTTTGAGGACTAATTATTGGTCAATATAATATGTATATTTCCTATTGTAATTAACCTAATCATATTCGTTTCGTCATATCACTAACTTTATTTTGACCTTTGAACTATTATTATACGATTCTTCAGTTATCATCAGTTTATTGATTACTTTCCCCCCTATTCACAGCCATATTTGGCTAAATATTGTACAAATGTTATTATCTATTTTTCAGCGATTAAAATCTTGTGATTAACCCATTGCGTTGAGGGTACTCAACGAGTACCTGAAGTATAACGCAAAGTTCATAGAAACGAAAACATCATTGGAATTTATAAAGAACTGTATTGAATCAAGGCATTATCCAAAACTATTCTATAAGTCACTATGCCGTAATCATGTTCATCTAAACAGAAAAAACGCTAAAACGCCATTCGCTTAATAAAATCGATAAATTAAATAATGATTTGACGGAGATAGAAGTAAACATTGCTCGCAGAAAATTTGCAATTGATGAATTAACAAAAGACCTTAAGTTCCACTTTTTGGATTTATTTTATTTTTATTTAAACACATAAATATTGGTACAAGGAAGCACCAGATAAATATGCGCCTCACAAATCACATTCGATTGGTGTGAGGGCTGTGATACTGCCCAGGTGCCCAGACTGAAGCAGTTGGTTTTCTTAGGGGACCACACCCGGAGCTTTTGACCTGAATGTCTGATCCATAAAGCAGTGGAGCATCATGAGGAGATGCAGTCCCATGGTAGCCGTTGACCAATGACAGGTTCGTCCGCCATTCGTTACATCAGGATACTGGAGCCCATGTGCACCATTGATTTGGAATCAGGGTTTTCCAACTCCCCTAGGTGAACTTTCCGTGTCCACCAACCTGGTTAAAGCGCCGGACATTCGCTTTTCGTCCTCTCACTTTCGTAAACAACACCCCCGCCACGAGAAGGCAGTGAGTAGGACTTCCCTGGCAGAGGCTATATATTCGCTGGCCATATGAGAGCATTTCGAGAGGGAGAGGTGACTCTCCCCACTCTCGGCCGTACCAGGGCATTTGGGGGCTTATTTGGATTAAGTCACAAAGATAACGAAAGATCAGACAAGAAACATATTCAACTTCTCAAAAGCCTAGAGAACCAACCGGTTGAAAATAAATTTCTGACTGAACCGAAAAGGTATGTGCATAATTTTTTCAGTAAAGAATTAAATAAAGAAAAACTTGAAGTATTAGCACTAGGTTTAAAATTTTGTGATACACGAAACCGCGTAAACCATATGGATAAAGACATCCAATTTGAAAACCTACATCGTCAGACATCCGATCTAGTCCCAACTTCGAATCTGGAACTGGAACGTTTCAAAGCAAGCATCATTGAGTATTGCTATCAGTTTAAGCATAGTAGATATAACTACAGAAGTATTTTGACTAAAAAACATAAGGAGGCTATCAGTGAACTTATTAATGACGAGAACCTGATTATCACAAAACCTGACAAAGGAACAGGAACTGTCTTACTTAATAGAAATGACTACATTGACAAGATGAATAACATCTTGAATGATCACCGAAAATTTCAGAAATTGAATAACCAAAAAGATGTCGATAATAAGATAGAAAATGAACTGACCAGATCTTTAAAAAAGCTCAGAGATCAACAGATAATTCCACCAGACATATATGAATCAATCAAGCCGATAGGTACTCATTTACCTAGGTTATACGGACTACCGAAGGTACATAAACGTGATATTCCATTGAAACCAATTTTAGACATGTACGATTCTCCTTACCATACGGTAGCAAAGTGGTTAGTAACCGTTTTAAAACCACTTCACAAACAACTAGTAAAGCACTGTATTAAGGATGTATTTCAATTCGTCGAGAAGATTAAAAACATAAACATCAAAGGTCTAAAGATGATGTCCTTTGACGTAACGTCATTTTTCACAAATGTCCCATTCAGAGAGACTGTAGAATATATTTGTGAACAGCTTAGAGAACAGGAAGTAGTAACTACAATCCCTGTGGAGACCATCAAAGAATTACTACTAAAATGTACTATGAATGCACACTTCAAATTCAATGGTGAAATCTACAGACAAATAGATGGTGTCGCGATGGGTTCACCCCTAGGTCCCATATTGGCTGATATTTTTCTCGCGAAACTAGAAAACGGCCCACTGACAACAGATTGAAAAGTTTTCACTTTATTGCCGATATATGGACGACACGTTCATCCTATGTAACGACTATATTGACTTAACGGAGACACTGCAGCTATTCAATACAGCTCATCAGTCTATAAAATTCATGTGTGAGGAGGAAAATGGAGGTAGGATCACTTTTCTAGATGTTCTCCTTACAAGGAGAAAAGACGACTAATTAGGGAGAAATATAAACAGGAAAACATCGTGGACGGGTCAGTATACTAACTTTCTTAGTTTTGTTCCTCTACAGTACAAAAGGAACCTAATTAAGACATTACACTATAGAATTATTTTTTATTTATTTATTTATTTAAACACATATATATTGGTACAAAAGGGCACCAGGTACATATGCGCCACACAAAATAATGAAAGTAGGTAGATAAAGGATGAAAAGATAAGGCGGGCTGAAATGTACAACCAGAAGATTCTTTCAGTTAGGAAAGTTAGAACCATTCTTTATGTAGAAAGTAAAAGAAGGTTGCAGCAGGATCGCCACTGGCTTCTATTCTGAGCCATATCTGATAACGTCTCTAGCCACTGTGTTGCACCATCTCTCAAACCCCAGCGACAGAGTCGTGAAGGACCAACAGAAGCTAGCCCTTTGCAGCTCTCTTTCATGCCACGACACCATGTCATACACTGACCTCCTCTCCGCTTTCTCCAACCAGTCCCAGGGTCGGCAAATAATGCACGACGCGGAAGTCTCTGGGACGACATTCGTAAAACATGTCCGAGCCACCGAAGTCGGTGTTTCAAGATGGTGACACCAATTGAATTATCGTCTCTGCGCCCAAACACACGATGCCGAACCTCTGCATTACTAACATGGTGTTGCCACTGGATGTCAGCAATCCTTCGGAGACAACGATGATCGAACACAGAGAGACGTCTAACATCCTCAACTCGGAGAGGCCAGGTTTCACAAGCATAGAGCAAAACTGCTCTCACCGACGCGTTGTAGATCCGACCTTTTACAGCCAGACTAACATCACGAAGGCGCCAAAGATGGCCCAGATTGGCATAAGCCGCTCTGGCTTTCATTATACGTGCATCAATCTCATCACTCACGCCACCACCAGCACTTATATAGCTACCTAGATACACGAACTTCTCAACTACTTCGATCTCCTCACCATCCAGGGTGAGTACAGGATGAGAATCCTGCCAGTCTTGTAGAAGTACTTTGCACTTGGAGGGTGCAAAGCACATGCCGTACCTGCGGACACTGATTGCCAACTGATTAAGTGCTGATTGCATGCCTTGGGCATTATCGCACAGTAAGACAATATCATCCGCATACTCAAGGTCGAGAAGTCGTTCTCCAGGCAACATATCCACACCGCCACTACTTACATCCATCAGAGCTGTTTCTAGGATGTCGTCGATGGCAAAGTTGAAGAGGAATGGTGAGATCGGGCAACCCTGCCTAACCCCACTGCTCGAATGGAACAAGGGAGAAAGGTGGTTGTATGCCCTCACTCTGCCTGAGGTGTTCGTATACAGGGCCTTTAAGATGTTAATGAACTTCTCAGGCACACCCTTCTTCAATAGACAATCCCAGAGAACAGTCCTGTCCAACGAATCGAAGGCAGCCCTGATATCAAGAAACACTACGATTGTTGGCCTGCGATAAGTATGACGGTGTTCTAACATTTGGCGGAGGGTGAAGATGTGATCAATGCATCCTCGACCAGAACGAAAACCAGCCTGCTCCTCGCGAGTCAATCGTTCTCGGGTTTTAAACAACCTACGAAGAATGATAGAAGCCAATAGTTTGGACGCGATCGAAAGTAGACTTATCCCCCGGTAGTTATTGCAGGAACAACGTGAACCCTTTTTAAAGATAGGGACGACTATTGACTCATTCCAAGATGTTGGAACACTTTCTTGCTCTCTTATAGAATTAAGACCATATGCTCTGAAGATACCGTCGAAGAAGAAACAAAAGCATTATACATGACTCTGAGAGAAAATGGATACCCAGAGAAATTTATAAATAAAAACATAACTAGTAAAAGCGATCATAAAGAATGTTTAATTGTGAATAAAAAGCCTCTGTATATACGTCTACAATTCAGAGGTGACACACCTAGTGAAATGTTAAGATTGAAACTACGAAGATCAATCGAAAGGACTTTTAATGCATGTGAACTACAACTAATGTTTTCCACACGTCCAATGATCACGCCGACTTTGAAAGATAAATTGCTTAGACTAGCCACTTCTTTCTGTATTTTCTATTTCATTGGTACGGTGTGGTCAGTCTGTTTGGTATATAAACCCAGTATGTTTGTGAACAATGATTCATACCACTGAGGCTGTTATCGGTGTTTTGGACTTAACTGGCTGGGCTAGGCCGATCGCAGGACCGGTTAGCACTCTAGACTGCTCGTACGGTTCCCGTGTCACTGTTCCAATCGATAATTCGCCGCTCCCTGATTGGCGGTTTCATCAAGCCACCCATCAACTAGGCATCCACTCGGCCACAAGATATAACAAAAACCCTCATTCCAAACAAATGGTGCACATAGATTGCAGTAACCTGAAGGAACAAATGGCATATGAACCAATTGTTGGTCACCAGGTACCATGGGACTGCATCTCCTCACGATGCTCCTGTCTTGTGGGTCAGATCTTCAAGTCGAAGGATCCGGGTGTGGTTCTTTAAGAAAACCACCTGCTTCGGTTTGGGTGCCCGGGCAGTATCGTAGCACACACACAAATCAAGTGTGTGGCGCATAAGTATTTGGTGCCCCTTTGTACTATTATGTGTTCAAATAAACTAATAAATATAAACTAGGTATCGACCTAGTGTTTCGATTCGCAGCGAGATTGTGGATGTGGACTGCCGAAGAATCGTATACTAAGAAACAACCGTTTGTTGCTTTCTGGTATTTCAATGGTTGTTATCTAAGACCAGTTCGTGGAATAATCTTATTGAAAGATGGTTGTCATCATAGATCATAACTACACTAGATGATTAAGCCGTAAATTCGAATCACACTCCATCTGTTATGATTCGAACAGCCAGCCAGTTTTGAAGTAAAAATTGTCATAACGTACTTACACTAACGGCTATTTTGCAATTTACTTGGTAGCAAGGACTGAACAACTATAACAGTGATTATTATTAGGTGATCAATCAGTCCTGTACTTGTTAAATGGACTACAATTATTGAAAATAAGGAAAATGGGAAATAAAGGACTTGGTTACTGCTGAAGGTATGTGGGTTAATTAACATTTGCTGAATGGATAACTAAGTAATGGGATATTCTTTCTTCTCAAAAATCACAAAACAGTGATAGGACCAACATTGACGATCTTATAGGCTTGGGAATATGACCATAGAGCTTGTAAACAGTAACAACTCAAGGTTGAGTTACGGACGATGTTTAAGCGAGTTATCGTTCTTAGTTATTAGCTCCACCGCCAACATCGTGCAAAGGATGATATATTAATTTCAAGACTAATCGTCTTTAACTCGTTATTCCATTTTTGGGAGAACTGTATCATTAATCATGAAAGTATTCCATGAGAAACGGATTTCTGCTGTCAGTACATTTCACCCTTCAACCAGAAACTTACTGGTACTGCAAACACAGATGTATGTGTATTAAAACTATAAAAATTAGTCTGGTAAATGATTATAGCTAGTGCCTTGTTAGGTTGGACTGAATCATATTAACAGGTGTAGACTATCCGGTTGGGGTTTCCATGATTATAATAATCAATGGTTAGTGAATTTGATCGTTACAGTTTGAAATCGTCAGCAATGATACAGATGCATTCATAATTTGTCATCCTAATGGTGTTACTACCTCTATTCCTTTAGGATGTCTCGACAATTTTGGAAGTGTGGCAACTGGATATACACATACACATATATACCAGGTTCTACTTTGGGTACTACTGACTGACTAAAGGCCTTATCATCTGGATCTTACAGTAAGAGCGATAGAAGAATGGGGACCTCTAAGAAACTGTTTAACAACTAACAAATACCCAAGGGAATAGACGGTAATCAGAGGATAATTATTTACTTATATAGTTTGCAAGTTTGAAGATACTATCAATCAGGGTCTTGTTCACATGTGTAAACTTTCGAACTGTAAATAATTCTTTAAAAGAATCAAAAATCATTTTGAAGGATTTGTGTCCCACCAAACATGATCATGTGTCATCTTGTATGGATTGAAACCAGACAGGTTTTCCCTAGTTAATAGTCGAATGATAATTAAGGCTGACTACTGTGTGACAGTCATAAGATGATTTTTGTATTTTCCTTTAAACTGAGACGATCAGTGATTGAGACCAGTCAGATGGGATCACATTCAATTGAGTAATAATTTATGGACGGAACACATCAAACAAAAATCAAACAAACTGACCTCCTTCGGATATCTTTAGTGTTTTTGATAGAACAGTTTGGATTGTACTAAGAACTGATTGGAAGGCATCCTAAAAAAGGAAAAAAAATGAAACAGGTATTTGTTAAGTTAAGAGAAGATAAAACAAGAAAACAAGGTTGCGAAATTATGATTCCATAAGGTTAAAAAATATTAAGTGTATTTTTAATGAGTATCTACAGGTCAGTCAGTTAGTCACAGCGTAGAACTTCGTACGTACGTACATCAGTTCGAGCTGCCATACCACATTAGCACAGAGATTCAGTTGTCGATTCAAATCCTATAGTGGTAGAAGTAGTAAGAGTATAAGCATTATGGGAAAGATTAGGGTTTGAAGATGTTATTCAAGGAGTATAATACAGTGAAATAAATTTGAAAAGAGAAAAAGGATAGAGAAATGAAGAATTCAGAAGATTAGAATTTGGTAGAACACAAAGAGTGGATGCACCTTCGCCATAGCAAACGATTTTGAGCCATGTCATTCAAGGTTTCTAACCATCGGTTGCTATCATCTAGCGAATCCCGACCAGGTAGCCTACACCTACCAACATGGCTCAGTCCACTTGTCAGCGACTTCATGGATTTATACCATGTTTTGGTCTGGCCGCCAACTAACTTTCTTCCAACTTACTCCTACACCATAAAACATTGCTCGTCGGGGCAGTCGGTGATTGGGCATACGTAACACGTATCCCAGCCATCTCAACTGATGAAATCTCACTACTTCATCAATCGATTTTCCATCATTACCTAATACCCGTTTCTTAACAACTGCATCTACAGGTGTAATAACAAAAAAGAAAATAACTAGTTCTAGTGAGAAGCACTGGCCAGTGGAGTTCAAACCACGTCTGTTGTGAGATAGGAACTCACTGAAGACAATTGGTGAACGGTTGCTCAACTTTGTGGATTGGTTGGAGTTAGACATAAACACCATCGAATGCCGGCTGGCCCAATGGTCTATCGGTTAAGTGCTCTGGCGCGAGACTGGTAGGTCCTGGGTTCGAGTCTTGCAAGGCGAGGTCGTGAGTGTGCACTGCCGAGGAGTCCCGCAATAGGATGAAACGGCCGTCCAGTGCTTCCAGGTTTTCCCTGGTGATCTAGCTTCAATTGACTCACGCTTTCAACTATGAAAATAACTATTTTTAACTAAACCCATTCAACAATAAATTATATGTTTAAAATTTGTGTGGCCAAGCACAAGATAAAACCGTGTATATCAACCCAAACACAAGTAAAGATGAAAAATGTACATTTTTAAAATAGTTAAAACGTTGGGTTACTACCCGGGTAACCAAACCAAAGCAGGTGATCCTCATGGAAGGCCACTGCTCGAACCTTTGACCTAGAGATTTAATCCACAAGGCGGTGGAGCAGCATTGGAAGATGCGATCCCATAGTAGTAGATGGTGACCAAGAATAAGTTGATACGCAATTTGTTCCCTCAGAATCCTATAGTCCATGGGTACCATTGATTTGAAATCACAGATTTCAAACTTTCTTATATGAATGCTCCGTATCCAACAATCCGGTTTAAGCACCGGATTCGCCTTTCCTCCTCTTAATCTCGTAAGCATCACCACTGCTACCAGAAGGTAATGGTTTGGACTTCCCTGGTAGCAGCTACATACGCGTGGCCGTATGAGAGCATTTCGAGAAGAGTAGACTCTCACCAGCCTCGGCCGTATCACGGCATTCGTTGGGTCCGTTTCTACTTGACTACAAATAACTGTTCACTACCCTACTTTTGTCATTTAATGGAGCGGTACATTGAGGTAGACCAGCAACGCGTAGTAAATGTCCCGACTATCTCAATCAATGAAGACTAAAAAACTCATCAACTAATTCACCCGATACTCTGATTCTAACATTTGTATTTTTCGCTGGGTGGTTTCACTAAATGTGAGTTATGCGACTATTAGTCAATAGTACGATTTGATATGTGTTATCCAATAGTTTAAAAGAATCGTACTTAGAGAAAAACTAGAATGTTTCTGATGCCAAGTAGTTGGACGTATTTGACAGGAAACTCAGGAGCTAGGTTTTGTACAATTTGGCACTCCTTAACAAGACACTTGTAATCTTGAGAGTACTGATCCTCTCTGCGTGGAAATCCGGGCTCAAGTCATACAGCTCACGGCCTGAGGCATTACCCTCGAGCTATTCGAGTAGCGACTAGTCTCCTGTATGAAGGATATTTAGTTGATTAGTCACTAATGAGGATAGGGCAACGTAATGTCTATACCTTACATGTTGATTGACAAAATTCGATCAGCATAGTCGGCTAGTTAAATAACATCATTTTATGATAAGAATCCCATGGAAACACTGAGCTGAGCTACACATCGGTCAGTCAGTCACAATGTAGAACCCTACCTACTCCGACACCAAACAACATCGCCCGTCAAGGTAGGCGGTGGTTGAGCATAGGTAACGCACGTCTAGCTTTCGCCAACTTGCGTCATTTATGGCGTAGGCGAGATATCCGTCTAGCAACCAAAGGACGGGTTTATTGTGCAACAGTTCCTTCTATCCTACTTTATGGTATTGAAACATGGCTGATAAGAGTAGAGGATATTTGTAGGCTACTAGTGTTCGATCATAGGTGTCTTCGAAGCATTGCTCGTATATGCTAGGACCACCGAGCAAGTAATGCAGTTGTTAGGAAACGAGTATTAGGTAATGATGGAAAATCGATTGATGAAGTAGTGAGATTTCATCAGTTGAGATGGCTGGGATACGTGTTACGTATGCCCAATCACCGACTGCCCCGACGAGCAATGTTTTATGGTGTAGGAGTAAGTTGGAAGAAAGTTAGTTGGCGGCCAGACCAAAACATGGTATAAATCCATGAAGTCGCTGACAAGTGGACTGAGCCATGTTGGTAGGTGTAGGCTACCTGGTCGGGATTCGCTAGATGATAGCAACCGATGGTTAGAAACCTTGAATGACATGGCTCAAAATCGTTTGCTATGGCGAAGGTGCATCCACTCTTTGTGTTCTACCAAATTCTAATCTTCTGAATTCTTCATTTCTCTATCCTTTTTCTCTTTTCAAATTTATTTCACTGTATTATACTCCTTGAATAACATCTTCAAACCCTAATCTTTCACATAATGCTTACACTCTTACTACTTCTACCACTATAGGATTTGAATCGACAACTGAATCTCTGTGCTAATGTGGTATGGCAGCTCGAACTGATGTACGTACGTACGAAGTTCTACGCTGTGACTGACTGACTGACTGAACGCACGTCTCAACTATTTCACTTGATGTAGACTTAGTACGTATGTATATATAAATCCTATAGTTTCCCTTGATTCCTAGATTATTAATTAATGTACCGAGAGCATGAAAATATTTTACGGTTAAAGCGAAAACAATTACAAACCATGTTGAATTACTTTGAAGGAATATTTAGCTATTTGTTGTCCATTTTCATTTTCAATTCTTGTTTCTAAATGTGCCAATGTTAAAGCAGCGAATAAATCACCGGTTCCAATGAAATGATAATTAAAATGGGGAATTTTAAAACGTACAAGATCGTATTCTGTAAAAATTTGGAAACAAAAAAAATTTAAAATCTCACAAAAGATTTAAATTAATTATTTATTTAAACACATAAATATTGATACAAACGAACACCATATACATATGCGCCGCACAAATTTCATTTGATTTGTGTGAGGGATGTGATACTACCAAGGTGCATAAACTGAAGCAGATGGTTACTCAGGGGGGCACATCCACAGCCTTTGACCTAAAGGCCTCATCCACAAGGCAGTGAAGCATCGTGAGGAGATGCAGTCCCATGGTAGCCGATGACCAACGATTGATTTATACGCCATTTGTTCCCCCAGGATAATGAAACCCATGTGCACCATTGGTTTGGAATCAGGGTTTTCCAACTCCCCTAGGTGGACCCTCCGTGTCCACCAACCCGGTTAAAGCGCCGGACACTCGCTTTACGTTCTCTCACTTTTGTGAACAACACCCCACCCCTAACGAGAAGGCAGTGAGTAGGACTTCCCTGGCAGAGGCTATATACGCGTGGCCATTTGAGAGCATTTCGAGAGTGAGAGCAGACTCTCCTCACTCTTGGCCGTACCAGGGCATTTGGGGGCAACAATCTGTTGTAAATTTTATGATAATATAACTAGAGATGAACCAAATTGTTCAACATGAGAGAATTTTTTTTAATCATATAACATTCATATACTTAGCAATGTCAAGAAGAAGTGTACAAATAAGCAAGTATATGAATTTAGAATGAATTACCTGAAGTATTATTCGTAACTGAACCATTCGTTTGATTTAATAAATCACTGCCACTATTACTATTATTATTTTTCATTAGACTGTTTAAACGGCTTCCATAACCATATATCACTGGTGAACAAGTTATATTAGTACTTGTAATAATTACAGTTGGAATATGATATTTTTTATGTAAATAGTTGATACAATTTAAAGCAGACTTTTCATCTGTTATTGGTATACCACTTAATACTCTGTTGTAATCAAAAGCAAAATATAAAGACAGATAAATGAGCATTACAAATTAATGCATGATTTACATAGTAGTGTCATAGTTTATTCATGGAAGGAGACTAACTTCTATTAACTGAGTTACGAGTCTAAACCCTCTACGTGGCCTTATTTAATTTGGAGAGATAAGTTATGGCAGTACATTAATGAGTAACCAATGATTAGAGACTCTGTGTGACATGGCACAGAATCGATCACAATGGCCTAGGTGTATACACCCTTTACCTTTATTTAAACCTTGAGATTAAAATTGTTTCATAACTTCCTTCCTATACTACAATCTTATATACAACCTATCTTCTATATATTACCAGCACTAAATTAACTACTTCTATGAATTCGGTGTTCATCTTGTTGTGCTAATGAGTGAGGTATGGCAACTTGGACCGATGCATAAATGTGCCTGGTCCTACGTTGTAGCTGACTGACTGGCATTAATGAGTCGATGTAACTTATTTATGAAACACAAGTTTGTGATCCTCGGTTTGAGCTACATATTAGTTGAAAACTAACAATGGAATGCAACAGTTCAAATCTATGATATATTGGTTGGAAGTCCAGTGCTTTAGGACTTAAACTATTATTAGCCCTTATTTACAAACATTGACTACGTGTGTTGTGACCACTAAGTGAGAAATGCAGAGGATAGACACCAGGTTACTAAGGAAGGATGCCAAATCGATTGATGAGATAGGTAGTGTATCTTCAGCGACTGATGTAACGGACGTGTTTTGAGTATCCTTAATTATCACCTACCTCGATGTGTGGTGTCGACTGGAGTATGAGTTGGTTACTACTCGACTGAGCCGTGTACGTAGGTGGAGACTACCTGGTTGAAGTTCACAAAATTATCGTAATCAATGGCGTAGAAAATTAGATGGTATGGTTCAGAATCGGTTAAAATGATACAAATGCATTCACTCCTAATTTTTCTCTAGATCTTGAGTTTCAAGATTACATTGTACGTCTTAGTTCGCGAATTCCTTCTTTCTCTTAGAATCCCACTGTCTAGACCCAATCTTTTCTGATACAACTGATAATGTTACTACCTCTACTAACCCAGCATTTATCTTGACAGTTTCATTCTACTGTTCTGATAGTGTGGTAACTTGAACAAACGTGCTACGATATCGTAACTTACGACTGACTGGCATCAAAAAATATCTATAAGAAAACATATCATACGTAGAGTTACTTTTCAACAATGACACAGTAACAACAGATAAACCTTACTCTGCTTCGAATTGGTTGGGGAAAATGACATCTGATAAAGGGAGTATTCTTTCTTGGTATATCTGGACGAGTTCGGGTGGGACATACTGACATAATTAAAATAGTTGAAAAACGGAAAACATTTAGTCAAAGTTGACGTAAAACAAACAATAACACTTCAACAAATTGAAAAAAGTACAAGAATATGGACACCAAGGGGCGTGGGAGAGCAAAATAAACAATAATAGTAAAATTATTTTCCGATATGTTTATTCTACTTTTATGAGACCCTATGCATCTTTTATTTTCAATAGTAACTGATTTTAAAAGCTGGGCGCTGACGAATTGTTAGCATTTGTCAACGGCTACTTAAATCGTCAGAAAAATAGCACGAAACATGTTGGGAAAAATGAAATGATGTGAATATAAAAAAACTGACTTTTTCCAATTTATGGTAATTTCAAGATAGGTCAAATATTTAAAATCCAGTTAAAAAAAACCACTAAATTATTGTGGTGCCCCCAAATGCCCTGGTACGGCCGAGAGTGAGGAGAGTCTGCTCTCACTCTCGAAATGCCCCCATATAGCCACGCGAATATATAGCCTCTGCCAGGGAAGTCCTACTCACTGCCTTCTCGTTAGGGGTGGGGTGTTGTTCACAAAAGTGAGAGGACGAAAAGCGAATGTCCGGCGCTTTAACCAGGTTGGTGGACACGGAGGGTCCACCTAGGGGAGTTGGAAAACCCTGATTCCAAACCAATGGTGCACATGGGCTCCAGGATCCTGAAGGAACGAATGGCGTATGAACCAATTGTTGGTCACCGGCTACCATGGGATTGTATCTCCTTACGATGCTCCACTGCCTTGTGGACTAGACCTTTAGGTCAAAGGCTCCGGGTGTGGCCCCCTAAGAAAACCACCTGGTTCAGTCTGGGCACCTGGGCAGTATCACAGCCCTCACACAAATCGAATGAGATTTATGAGGCGCATATTTATCTGGTGCTTTCTTGTACCAATATTTATGTATTTTAATAAATAAGTAATTGTGGTTATAGTTAGTCAGCTCCGCTCGATACTTAATTGCAACAGAAGTTGCAGACAGTTTACTAATATCAATCCGTTGGTGGTGGTCAATCCTTCGGCCACTGAAAAGTAAGGTGAGATTGGCGCAGACCAGGGCATGATCAGACTTCAGATAGGTACTCCAAAAGGAGCGGCAGTCTTGTACACAACCACGCCAGTGGTAGCTGATCGCAATGTGATCAATCTGAGTCCAGGCTTGGGATGCAGAGGGAGGACGCCAGGTGGCACACCGGCGATGACTGTGCCGGAAGTTAGTGCTGGCCAGAAACAGGTTGTGGTCTGTGCACAGTTGCAGCAAACGGTCCCCGTTATCTGTCCGGCGACCAACAAGTCCCCATCGGCCACCTAGACGACTCTCTTCTGTGCCTAGACGCCCGACCTGTGCATTCAAGTCTCCGGCTAGTACTACAATATCTGTCGAACGCGCTTTCTGGAGAAGAACTGTTAACTGATGGTAAAACTCATCCTTGATTGCATCCGGGCTGCAATCTGTCGGGGCATAGGCGGAGATGACGAAAAGACACCGTTTCTCACGCCGATTTCTTCTCACTTTGATGGAACTTTCTAATCTAACAGCACATAACCGACTATTAATGGGGATCCAATCGATTAGTGCTGCCTCAGCTCTAGCACTTAGTGCGACACCAACGCCAGCAAGACCAGACGAAGATGCCACAGGGTCCCCGGATAAGCGCACGTGGAACAAGCTATTCGAGGCGACAGATGGAGAGCGGATTTGTAGTACTTCACTAGAGTCTTGAATACGGGTCTCGGATAGACAACAAACATCAACATTAAGACCTTCCAAAGACATAGCCAGCCCTATCTGTTGTCTGATATGCATTAGTGTGCGAACGTTGAAAGAAGCCAGCTTGAACGGCGTACGTGGTTTCAGAAAGACTGCTTCAGTATTCATTATCGGTGGAAGCATTCACTTTCAACCAGACAGTGACTGGAGATCGTTTAGATAGGACAGATTTTCCACCATGGGCGAGCTGCTGCATAAGTTGAAAAGTAAGGTTACACAAATTGGGGATAAAAGGGGGTGAGTTAGCGATATGGTAAATAATAATAATAATAATAATAATAATAATAATAATAATAATAATAATAATAATAATAATAAAGGTAATAATAATAATGTTAATTTCTTGCTTTTAGTATGACCAGGGATATTATCGTCAATAGAGTTCATAATTTCATTCATTTGTGTGTGGGCTGTGATACTGCCCGCGTGCCCAAACCGAAGCAGGTGGTTTTCTTAGGGGACTACACCCCGAGTCTTTGACCTAAAGGCCTAGTCCACAAGGCAGTGGAGCATCGTGAGGAGATGCAGTCCCATGGTTGCCGTTGACCAATGACAGGTTCTTCCGCCATTCGTTCCATCAGGATACTGGAGCTCATGTGCACCATTGGTTTGGAATCAGGGTTTTCCAACTCCCCTAGGTGGACCCACCGTGTCCACCAATCCGGTTATAGCGCCGGACATTCGCTTTTCGTCCTCTCACTTTCGTAAACAACACCCCCGCCACGAGAAGGCAGTGAGTAGGACTTCCCTGGCAGAGGCTATATATTCGCTGGCCATGTGAAAGCATTTCGAGAGGGAGAGTAGACTCTCCCCACTCTCGGCCGTACCAGGGCATTTGGGGGCTATCAGGACTCAGTGGCCGAGTGGATAACACGATGGCGTTTGGAGCGAGGGTACTGGGTTCGAGTCCCAGAGTGAACATCAACTCTGAGATGGGCGAGACTAAAGAACATGGACGACCTTTGAACGAATCTTAAATGACCTTGAGAAATATTAGCCAATCAGAAGACAGTTATCATACAGTAAAAATATATTATACAAAACTCAAAATTTAAAGGGGATACTGTTCTTTTACATGAATCAAAAACTTATCAAGGTCAGATATAGGTTCAGAAGCTATAAAATCATAGTGCATACGGCACAGGAGCTCATCCTTGTGGCTCCATAGTAGTCTACCTCTGGAACCATGATAAAGTCCCGAAAATTCTTTCAGCCTCGACCACATAGTTTCAGTGTTGTCGGTATGTTGGTATGGTTTAGGGTTTAGGATTAGGGTTAAGGTTTAGGGTTACGGTTTAGGGTTAAAGATGAGACTATAAATTATGGACGGCATTTGAGCGACGCTAGAGTGAATCTGAGAGTGTCAACGTAATAACTAAGACTAAATGAGGGTTATAAACCCGTGTGAAGAATTCAAATTATGATTTACAGTTCATGGTTAGGGTTATGAATTTTACTTAGGGTTTTCATCACGAACTGACATCAGCTGTAATGCCACAACTCTATTCAAATGTATAATTGAATTTTGCGCCAAAATCTTATGATAACTTATCCTGTAGACGCTTAATTATCATTTTTTCTTTAAAATCCGTTGTAAACCGACTGTACGTAAGCGTCAGGTACCGAACTTAGCGCCGTGACCTTGAAAACCGGCGAAAGCTTCTGATTGGCTCGTCCATGTTCTTTAGTCTCGCCAGAAAGATAAAGGGTGTATACACCTAGGCCATTGTGATCGATTCTGGGCCATGGCACACAGTCTCCAAACATTGGTTACGATAGTCACGCGGACCCCAACCAAGTAGTCTGCATCTGCCAACATGGCTCAGATTAGAAGTTAGTGACTTCGGGTACTGACGCCACGTTTTGATTTGGCCGCCCTTAACTTTCTTTCAACCATCCCCTACACTAGTCAGCATAGCGCGTCGTGGTAATCGGTGGTTACTGAACATAAGCTATGTCATTGTTATTCATGAATATATTAGTGAAAAAACGAGCTGGAATTTAAACCATGAACAATTCATAACGTATGCAGACTAGGTAATAAATTTGATATAGGAAACACTTGTAAACCATTTTAGTCGAAAACCAAATAATAACAAGACAATTGAAGAAACTGTTTGTCTCAGGCATCCGTATTTTTTATTTTGGACTGTTGGATATTATCACTGTGCTCTACTAGAATATTATGGCCCAAAGAAGGGTACACGAAGTAAGTCACTAAATCACATTAATATGAACATAAAAATACAGAATTTTGAAGTTAAAACCTTTGTCAAGTGTTTGCCAAAATAAAATGACGTGTTAGGTGATCATACTACCCAAACTTAATAAACGTTTGTTACATTTTCCTATTGATACACATAGCTTTTCAGTTTTCTCGAGTCAAACAAACATTTGGGGTATCATTTTTACTTTCATTTATCACGAAAATTTACCATCTTTCGGAAAGTCAGCATTGACATAACGTATATCACCAGAACATTATACTAACAAGCTTATTAACTGAGACTGATCTGAGCGCCCAGTTAAAATTCATGGAGCCGAAAGTATAATACAGACGGGTAGGTAAGCGGCTAGGTGTGGCTATGACAGCGCCCAGATATTACATAACCTTTCGTATTCCAAATTACTGGCCTTCAGCACTTATTGATGCTTGAACCCCTGAGAATGTTGACCGGAGTAGGCACGATATGCAAATCTTACAAATAAATGAACAGAGAAACTCACAAGCTTTCCATTATCACCTAGAACGGGATCGCAGTCTATTGAGTAAATTTTACCAAATTATTTATACTTACAATATTTTAAATTTGAGTTCTCTTTTTTGAGGTCGGATACAATATCTGCGACTGCTTCCAAAGAGCTTGGCGACGCCAGATAACCTAGAAACCAGGAAACAAACAGATATTAATTAATACCTGTGAGCACATGAGTATACTTGTTGAGGCCATTCGCTTTCAAACCAAGATATAAATCTTTCATGCTCGCAGCATCCAACACTTGCCCCTTGACAAAATCATAGCCTGTATACGTTATGATTAGTAATACGCAAACCTGTGTGATTCGAAAACTGTACAGAGTTAATAAAGTCAACTTCTATACCTAAGACCTATAAAACAAAAATATAACAATGAGAAACTGACTTGCAAGGGAAAAACAGCTATTTTATTGCCAACATATCCATGGACAACATGACTCTGTATGCAGAGAACCTTCAGACAGTTAAGTGCAACTTTAACTGCCATCCTAGTTTCATACAACGTTCAGCCTTTGATAATTTAAGTCTAGACAAAAAACACGAGTAAACGTAGGTTGATATTTGATAGATACATAGGATGCACATACATTTGGTAAAAAAAGAAATCGGTAAAAGATAGAAGCGATAAAAACGTAACTAATAGTCAACAAAAAAGATTGTAATATACACCACACTTGGTTATGACGGCCACATTCAAGGAAAAGGAGTTGGATGTGACCTGAGGAGGATCTGACTCGACTTCAAAGTTGGGCAGACGACAACGGACTTACCTTCAACACTTCAAAGTGCAAGGTAGTCCATCTGAGACATGTTGCAGACTATAGTTATAACTTAGGTAACTCCCCTCTAGAAGTTTCCCAAGTTGAAAAAGATTTAGGAGTGTTGGTACCCTACGACCTGAAATCGTATGCGAACTGTGACAAAAACGCCTCTCAAGCAAACCTTGCACTGGTAACATTGAAGCGCATTTTTGGCCAGTTTGACGGTAGAACCTTCCATATAATCTTCAACAGTTTTATTCGTCCCCACTTAGAGTACGGAAACATAGTATTTCCTCCCTCCCTCCAAAAGGATAAGGTCACTCTGGAACGTATACAACGTCGAGCCACGAAATCAGTTCGGGGTCTCAAATTCAAACCTTATGAAGAGCGCCTCAAATCACTTAACCTTTACCCGTTAGAGTATAGGCGTCTTAAAGGTGATCTTCTTATGACTTATAGTATCCTTAATACTTCTGGTCATCCCCTTAAACAACTTCTTAAGCTTAGTCATAACACTAATCTCAGAGGTAACACCCAGAAATTGGAGACCCTACATAGCAGAACAGACTGCAGACACAACTTCTACTCCGTTAGAGTTGTCAAGTGCTGGAATTCGCTGCCGACTGAGCTAGTCCAAGCGACCTCCCAGGAGTCCTTTAAGAGAAAACTTGACTTATTCTTAAGGACTAAGGATAACATATTATTATGATTTACCAAATTCTTTTTTTCCCTCTATTATCGTTCATATACCTAGGTTTTTGCCTGGAGGTATTGGTGATCCACTGCTACCAGACACGGAAGCCCGTTAAGCGAAAGCTTCTTCTATTCCGTCCTCAACCATTTGAACCATTTGAAGGTCAAAGACTGTGAAACAATTCAATACTCAATCACACTTCGTCTTTTATACATCTAAGTACAGTTTACAAAACTTCGGACTTGTTTGTAACTTTCCAAAAGGTGCTTGTTTTGAATTGCTGTAACTGTTAGCCTTCATGATATTGAACTGACGGGACAACGAGAAGATAGTTTTTCGGAGTTTTTTAAGAGGCTAAATCTGAATGTTTTGCTGTTTCATTTTGACTTGGAGCAAGAAAAATATCGTCAAAAGTAACTTAGAAATCGGGAAAAGAAACTGAAATTGCGTTTGAAGATTCAATGAAATGTCACAGAACCATAGTCAAATCATCCAGTAGTCGGGTCTCTGAATGTGGAGTAGTCCATCGATTTTTGTCAAGAATAGGGATAACCGACGCGCAACAATCAATTTCACGCCATAGATTGGTCGGCAAGTTATTTCTGCAGTTTCCGTGCACATGGAACACGTTATCATGTGCACCGTCGAATTGAAAATTGTCGGTTTAATGCTGCAGTTTAAGTTAATAGTGTACTGAAAGGAACGTTCATGTATACTAGTGCTAATGCACCATTCGTAAAATTGTTAAATCAACTTAAATCTCGTCTTTCAAGTCAAGCAAACATCGTTTAATTATGATTTTATTGTTAAAAGGTTCATGGTAGCGTATGTTTTGAATTTAAACTGAATTTCTGTTTTTGGGCATCAAACAACCAATAAGTATTATTTTCGATGCGAGTTAATGTTGACATATTCCGATTATTCACAGAATGAATAACTTTGGGATAAAACACAGTCTGGGTCAGTTTTTAGGCCTAGATTTATATAATTTCACCCATATTGGAATTCAATCAACGCTGTTCCGAATAATCCCTAATTCGCATGCCGTCTGCCTAGCATAATACACCTAGACACATCGTTCAGGTCGAACAAAGTATTTCTCTAACAAGAAGTATAACGAACGGGACTTAGTTAGTAGAAAATAAAACAAACCATTGATTATTGACGAGCATTTTTAATGATTGCATCGCAGAAGGTTCTATTCGCATCAATGAAAGACAGCGACAGTCTCAAAACAACAGACTGACAGTCATCATCTTTTTGATTTTGAACAGAACGATGTTTTACTCAGGGTTATCAATTTATAGAAACGCGTGAGGTTATTTACTTGTCTGGATATAAAAGACTCTGCAACAAAATTACCCGAACGATGTTTTTTGAAGAAATGTTACGTAGCAGCGACCAGCACTAATAAGGGAAAGATCAAAGTTTGTGCTTTTAGCAACGACTTCTGTGGTTTCCAGACATCAGTAGACTATGTGAATATGCAAACACCTGTCATCCGCGCTGGCATACAAGGAGGCAAACAACCTCAAGCACCACAAATACGGAATGCCCACCGTCAGTCAGGGCGTTGAGGGATGTGGAAAAGAATTTAGGGTCAAGTTTGAATGCCTATTACCTTTCTTCCATGTCTTTTTTTGGTCATCGACGTAACCATAGGACCTGGATACTTGGAAAAAGTAATCGACGTCGGGTATAAACCATGAAGTGTGTTTTCGATATGCACCGGTTGGTCATGCCATTCTCATCCAACTCCAGTAAGCCCACAATCGTCGAGACAAACCATCGATGTTGCTAATATACGCATTTATATTTTGATGACAAATGAATTTCCAATATAAATAGGTTTGCTAACTTTCAACATGATAACCTTGTTAATATAAACAAACCTCACTAGCTGAAGTCGCTCAGTAAAATGTTGTGATCACGTCTCAGCACAGACTACGTGATAGACTTCTATCCTGGATAGCCAGTTTCATAGTCTTGTAGCAGCATAGTTTCCGAACTTTACGATCCTTGAAGCTGAGCATATAGCGACTTCAGTGTTTTATAATAAAGGCTGAATGCTTGAAGCGATTCAAAAAACTGAAGATAGAGCACTTTATCAATTCGCTATGGCTAGGTCAAGCACTCTTAGTCACCCTATGTAACTTGCTCCATTATATTTTAGTATATTATTATTTTTACTGCCCAAATATGTTTTCTTAATGTCCATGGAAACCATACTACTGACTGTCACGTAGGATAAGTCTGTATAGACATTGTTATGGATTCTATGCAAGATCCTATAGATGAAGTAGTCGTGTCACGGAAAATCTGCAATTTCGGATTTAAACTATTGTTCTAGTGGCATAACTAAGAGCACTTATACCGGTATGGGCCTTAGTTCTACAGTTTCACATTCATCGATCCCTGCTTTTTTCAATGTTACACTTCTCCTCAACCTTTAGTTACTGCTAACTGAAAACTAACCAGTCTTCATTCGCAAATAGCTTCGCGCCGGTGAAATACAACTTCTCGAGACACGGTAAATTAAAGAAACATTTAACCCTACTCTACGTATGCTTAGCTTCTAAAATGTCACATAATTACAATTGTTCTCAGTCTGTCTTGGAAAGTGTCCAAAGTTATGAATCAGTAAAGTTAGAACTTTCGCGAGACTGCCCTTTTGTACTCAGCAATACGATTTTGATGTTTTACTTTTTATTCGATTTTTGCGACAACATATAGCGTCTAGAAGGTTGTTTGTGGAAATTGTAATGATTTCAACGGTTGGATTCATGTGGCGATCTAAGCTAAACCACCAATGGAAACCTCGAACCACTGGACGGCCATCTGAACCTAGCACCGGACGACTCATCCACGACCTGCTTATGGGGCTCGAACTCACGAGCTTCGGTTTCGCAAGCGAACGCTTAACCTCTATACCACCTAGCTGACATCCAACAATGTTGATTTCTAACTTAAATCTATCGATGAATCACATTGACTCATGAATTCAACTATTAAAATAAAACGTAGCAACTAGAAAACAAGTCTCAATAATTGTTCTTCAATAAGGTTGAGCTAATGGAATTATGAAACAGTTGAACTAAAATTTGAACTCCTTACACATATTTGCGTGGGGTAAATAACTTTCTTCGAACCCATAGCCTTAATTCAGAGGATAACTAATGACTTTCGGATAGTTGGTTACTAACCGAATTCTTTACAGTCGATTAACTGACGATTAGCAGGAGTAGTCTAAACGATCTGCTGACTAGTAATTTATGAAACAGTCCAACTTCTACCCTAATAAAGCACATTTATGATTATTGTGCTTCATAATCCAAGTCAGTCGCGGAATGATGTGAACAGAAATCGTCATTACATGTAAATATCAGATTCGCCACAACTTGATAAAAAGTTCAGCTTACGAATCTCCCTGTACGTTTTTTGTACAGGTCCATCGAAGGCAGCTCAGATTCCATCCTTAACTTTGATTGATTACAGACTAGAATAGTCTCATTAGTACTAGAATGAACGACTTATGTTTAAATAGACTCAAATAGGTCCCAGAAAAGTGTTTCCTGGATGTGACCGAGATGAATATGAACCATTGGTTTGTCACTAATACTTGACAAATTCCTGAGGACCGTTAGAGATCATTTCCTTGGTGTCAGGCAGCATCAACAAAAAGCAAACATTTCATATGTGAATGAAAATGTTTTCCTTCGGCAATTTCATTGTTATTCATTTTCCCTACGTCTTGGCATTTCTATAGTGAGGGATATAATTTTATATCTTCTCATGGTTCTCATGACAGAAGCAGAACTGATAATAATATTCAAGAACTTGACTTCCTTAAACTGTTTATCAGAATCAAGAAACTTCGAAGTTGTTGGTCATATTTAGCACTTCAGTTCCGCAGTCACCAAAGCTCTGGAGATTTCGTCAGCAACTTCTTCAGTGGTCAACAAGAAAAACGAAATACATATCATGAACCTTGTCTTAAGCAAAACGCTTGACCAACAACCACGCAATTTTAAATAATTTTATGATATTATTTGCTAAACGAGAAGCTGATACCGAAAGTTAAAAAATAAGAATAGTATTCGTCATTAAGGAAAAGGACGGCGACCGTAATTCTAAAACGACTGTCACAATTAGAATTATTATATTCGAAATCACTGAACGAATACATATGATACATGTGATGTGAATGTGTATATGAATAGTGCGAATGGTCCAACAGGGTGCTTGGTACCTGTGTGGTTGCGCCACAGGATTGAGCTGTGCTGTTCAGATTGTAGCGTTGAAGTGTGTATAGTGTGTGGTTCTCCTGTCTAGGGGCGACGGGATTGAGCTATACTGCTTGGGTTAAGCCTGAGCTAGACGATGTCTGACTCTCCTGAAATCAGTCTTCAAACTGTTATCTCATTGTTCATAACTTTTGAATGGATAAATATTTTTCAGTGGAGTTCCCTTTTTAATACTTATCTAATGAAGTGCTATTCAATGATGTATAACATGTACACGTACATTGAAATTGAAATTTTACTATTTACACCTGCTCTTACTCGCCATGTTATATAGGGGTACTACCCCTAACTCAGGGTCTGGAAAGTCGGAAACATGAAAATTTCGCAAATGCAATAAAAATGATCTTGGTGGTGTTGTATTAGTATTCCGACACCAGACAATGGTTTTTAAGCGCAATCACTGATCGAAATACATGTGATACATGTGATGTGAATGTGTATATGAATAGTGCGAATGGTCCAACAGGGTGCTTGGTACCTGTGTGGTTGCGCCACAGGATTGAGCTGTGCTGTTCAGATTGTAGCGTTGAAGTGTGTATAGTGTGTGGTTCTCCTGTCTAGGGGCGACGGGATTGAGCTATACTGCTTGGGTTAAGCCTGAGCTAGACGATGTCTGGCTCTCCTGAAATCAGTCTTCAAACTGTTATCTCATTGTTCATAACTTTTGAATGGATAAATATTTTTCAGTGGAGTTCCCTTTTTAATACTTATCTAATGAAGTGCTATTCAATGATGTATAACATGTACACGTACATTGAAATTGAAATTTTACTATTTACACCTGCTCTTACTCGCCATGTTATATAGGGGTACTACCCCTAACTCAGGGTCTGGAAAGTCGGAAACATGAAAAT